TTAACCATAATATCTAACAATATCTTCTGTTTATTCTGTTACTTTCAGTTACTCTTTTTAGTTGTATCTCTCTACTATAAATAGACTACCCTATGTGTGATTTATACACAAGGGAGATTAATCCCAAACTCTATTTCTTCTATATTCAACACCTATGATGTTGAAGGTTAATCCATGACCATGGGTTGCTAGCAGATTAATGCGTCATAGAGGATTTCTGTTCAACAATAACCTTAATATAATCCTAGCTTCAAATTCCAAGACAAGAATAAGGCAAGATATAAAGAGAAAGCACAGGGACATTAGAATTTAGTAAAAAATAAAAAGTAGGGAAGTTGAGATTTTAGGAATGCTAGTACCATATCTCCTGGCATAGAATTGAAGTCGCCAGCCACAATGACTTCGGGTATGCATTCATATCTATCTGAGACAAGTGTTTTAAATTTTTCTATGCGGGATAGAAGATATTTAGCTTGTGCAAGCTTGACATCAGCCCACTCAGGATCCCTGGCGCAGAGATATATGTAATTTATTAATTCCACCACTAAAGTTAAGAAAACCCATGTTTGCATAACTCAATCCACATTGAGTTAAAATTTCATTCAAGTCAACAATGGAAAAAATGAAGTAAAACATACATAAATCGCTTTATTATTACCAGTAAAGATGTGTGTTGGCCACAATAACAATATGACAAGAGGGATCTTTGAGTTTGAATGCAGCCATAATTCCCACACAATCACGCTTTAATCTCACACGAGGGTCATTGGGATCTCCACAGTCTTCTGTATTCGATTTAGATCCTGGATCAGGAATTCGGTTAGTGAAGAAACAGCACACTCTAATCTGTACAGGCATCTATGTAACCACAATTTCTCTGTTTGCGTCTTAAAACAATGAATGCAGAAAGAAAAAAAAAACTTATGAAACAAAACTTAACAAAAGAAAATATCTAGAAAAAAAGAAAACAAGGAACACAGCAGCAATAGAAATTAAGTAGCAGAATAGCACAGAGCTTCGGCCAGTTCCTCAGTCAGTCTATAACAGTGTCAAAAAAGTATAGAGAATAAAATCTTTAAGTAGTTCTTAATATAGGAAGAAAGTCTATATTTCAAACAGAATTCTTTACTTTTATTTAGCATTTACCATTTTTTGGTGCCACATCCTTTTGTTTATCTGGATGGACTGTCTGAATCTTGGTGTGTTCATCATCATTTGAAGAGCTCCCATCAAGAACGGACTTTACAAGATCATTGTATTCAATTTTCTCTTCTAGGAGCAACTCTGCACTAAACAGCAAAAAATAAGGATAAATTTAAATAGATAAAGGTACAAAGGACTGAAATAACGTTAATGAATATTCTGTAATCACATCTATTAAATTCTTTTGGAAAGAAAAATAATTAACAGTTAACCCCATTAGATGAAATGGGAAAGAGAGACTAGAGATAAAAGAATCATAGTTACGTGAATATTAATTAACCAATAACAAGCAGAGTACAACCATTGCTGGTTTTAATTACTAGAAAATTACATTAAGTATTTTGCATTATAAGTATATAATTAACTAACATTTACGTGAAACAGTATCAGTAGAGTCCAAGAGATCGCAAGTTTAAAGTTGGAACTTGGAATCCTTCCAATAGTTCTTCCCAACTTACTGAAAAAACTTGTATCCACTCCTGGTGTAAAATCTTAGCCACTCACTCACTAGTCATATCATGGGTTCAGTAACTCCAGTTAAAATTAAAATCTATACTATAAACCGCCCCTTTCTTTCAAAGCTACAAGTTCATGCTCTTGTACAATTACCTCACAAAATTAGAACATACCAGTCAATTTTGTAAAATAAGCCACACCCATCACGCTTCTGTCCACTTCTCTTCATATAAATTGAAGAATATCCTAAATCCTGCATGTTTCCTTTGTAAAAACTTTCAAATTCATCAACTTCCTGAAATGATTCATGATAAGAAGAGCATTTGAAAGAAAGTAATCAAGAAGCTGAAATTTTCTCACATATTATAAATTAAAATAAACAAATTGGAGAATGAAAACTCACTCTTCTCACTCACTCACTCAAATAGACATTCGTAACATTCTCACTATCCACTCTTTGGATAACATTTCACATATTACCCTGACAACTAAACAAAATATTTCTCAGTCATCTCCATCTAGCTGTGTGTACACTTAATCTTCTTAATAACCAATTCCTTTCAATCTTACTTCTTTTATCTTTATCTCTTAGTTAAATTTCAATGCTTAAAAAATAAGCTTGTATCAAAATGAAAATTTTTCATAGTAAATCCAAAATGTAATTTATATATTCAACTATTTATTATTTATAATCAAAGTATAGTTTTTATATTAAAAATATTTGTTTACTATAAACTTTAATTATATCAAAGAAACATTTATCTGGTATCGCGTGCTAATAATTAGTACAAGAGAATAGTTTGACAAGAAAAAAAAACCTGTAGGCAGAAAAAATCAGCTCCCAAGTTCTTGAGAACTTCCAAAATTGTGTTTGAACGAAGTTTCCATCTGCAGGAAGAAAAATCAATTAGTGAAATCACCATGCAAATTTTACATCGATCATTTGAAAATTTAATATATACAAAGCACATTCATTACTTGAGAGACGAAGAAGGAGAGTGTGGGAACAACGAGCTCTTCACATAAACCTACATTACAATCAGACATTTTTTATATATATAAAAAATGTAAATAATCGGTAAATTCGTCCGTACAAAATTCGAAACGGTTACAATTAGCGTACCTGCGCCAAAATGTTATACGAAACAAGACTGAATCTGAAGCCTGAACAAAAATTCACAAAACGAAAGAGCATAATCGAATCAAACAGTGTGAAATTCAAACGAGATTCGAAAAGCGAGATTAGTTAGTTACCGTCAGGTTTGCTTCTGGAATGTATGTCTGCGCCTTCTACGGAAACGAACTTGGGAAATGCTGGCGAAGAACTCATCTTCCTTACAACACTTCATTCATTCAACACACATTTTTAAAAAGGGACCGAAACAGTTGTTCGAATAAACGTTAATGGGATTTGAATGTGTAAGCATAATAACCTAATCGGAGAAGAATTCGAGCATAACACTGCTCGCGCAGCCACAGCTTTCAGCATCTCCGTTGATTCTTCCTTTAACACTTGCAGGCGATAAAAACAATGCGGCGGCGTTTTTTCAAACTGTTTTTTTTTTTTGGTCGTTGTATGATTCTAAGTATTGGCCCAAACTAGTCGACGATAGGCCGAAGCCCGATATGTTTTTTGGGCCCCATCTAGTTCAGAAATCTAGCAAGAACTTACGTTCAATGAATTGGTTAAAAGTAAACGCAATTTTGATTGCGAAAAACAGCATTTGACCTGAATGATTGTGGATAAGCTTAAGCAATCCATTTGTCAATTTTGGTTAAAGTTTCCACTTGCGTATCAAACATGTCTTCAATTTTCGTTTTGGAAAATGCCAACAAGCTCAGTGGACCTAATTAATCATCGTTTTCATCATCACTTTCAACCATTAAGTCCAATACAAGAGTCAAATTTCAGACGTTGATTATTATTGACATTGATCCATCTGCCATTAATATTATTTCTGTCCATTAATTGAAGGCTTTTTTCTGAAGACAACTTGGTTTCAATGAGATAACATTTTTTATGTTTCAAATTCAAACTTAAAATCATTTAAGTCTTTTGTTTTGTTAGGGTTTATATATAAGAAAGAACATATTGTGATTTTAATCAAATAGCATGTCATTGTCATCCACTAGCTATATTCCAATGTAGTCTCCAATTAGTGCTTAGTTGCATTATTATCCATTAGATAACGACTACTCTCCTTTTCCACACTTTAATTTCTACATTATTAAATACAAAATTACATTTGTTTTTTCTTTTAATAAATTTCAAGACGACTAATAAAACAATCTTATTTATTTTCTTATTACCTTCAATTAAATATTCATTATTTTTCCTTTGTTTTTATATTTCTTTTTTCTTTAAACAAATTTTAATTTTTTTATCATATTTTCCCTTACCTTTCTAACATTATTAATGCATAATTGTAATGTTATATTGTTTATACAGTATAAGTTTAAGAGAAATTGATGTGAAATTTAATATTATAGTAGTTAGACATTGTTTACATTAGTGTGTATATATATATATATATATATATATATATATATATATATATATATATATATATATATATAAGTGAAAAGTTATATTAATTGATTTAATGAAAAGAAAGTAAGATGTGTGAAAAGTACACAGGTATATAAGATTGACGTGACGAAGGTTGGTAGATAATTTTTTGATGTATCGTCAAAATTGCTTTTTGGTATATTTCAATATTATATTTCAATCATATTAAAAATAATTAAATTATTTAAAATATTTAAAAAAATAATTAATACATCATGTATTTGCAGATAATTATATAATAAAAGACAAAAAATGTTGGTAAAAATTGTGAAATAAACAGATGAGAGTAATTCATTTTTGGTGATTGGTAGATGGCAAAGGTGAGCAATGAAAGAAGGTTACTTGTAGTGGGACATTTATAATTTAATAGGTCACCTTGACAGATAAATCGCTTATTTGTGTTTTATATAAAACTGGGAAAACAAACAAAGCTTTAAGATAAAAATAGAAGGTTTGAAGTTGTAAATTCATTAATTTGATCGTCTTTTCGCAACAGGTGTCATAAGAAAAGACAGATAGCGACTTTAGTGAATGCCATTAATCACAATTAATAACGCAAAACGGGCACCACATAAATTCTCAGAAGCACGTTTCCTCTTCAATTCAATGTTGGTTATTTATTAGAATACTGATTGGACGCAATAACTTGCAGGTGCAGTTTGTTGGCTTCCTTACTTGTTCCCGTTAGTTAACCAACTGAAACACAGAGTTAGGTTTACCATCCACGCTGTTTTTCAAATGACGTTTTTTGATTGGTTTGAACTTTGACGTGCTTCTGGTGTTATTATCCAAACAAGTCCTTTTCCAGTTTTGCATTCCGCGTTCTCTCAACTTACGGTGGTTCCATATTAAATGCATTTCCCCGTCACATGTGCCATGCCGTGCACTTAAATTTTTCAGCTGTATCTCTTATGTTTAGACAAATCATTCAATTCAAAAGATTATTGTATGCAAGAATCTGAAGAATAATCGATTAAGACTCTTTTAGACTTGTAATCAATGTATTGAGATATATTCCCTTGAGCTTGGTTTGAAGGAAGGAAAGGTATAAGAAAGTGGTTTTGAGTTTGGCACACAAAGGAGAGGTTGAAAAGAAAGACAAGAAAAGTAGGTTGGTGGCTTTGGGTGGCTTTGGATCACACCTTTTTTCATTAATGGGAATATAACAAAACAACAAAGGTTGTGTTTGTTTAGTGAATGTGTGATGTGGTATTTAAGAAATCACCGTCAATCGTGCCACTTGTTCTAGGTTTACTTCATTAACAATTTCCAAACTTTACAATCCAATCATGCCCTTCACATTCCCACCGATCAAACTAAACTTATAACCACATATATAAAAATTCTCTCTCCATTTTTATACATAATATTTTCACTTATTAACATCATATCGCATGCTTTTTATGCATCATTATTCCGCAAAGACAATCTTAGAAGAACAAATTATGAGCATGAAAGAATTAAAAAAAGGAGAGAGGCGAGCTCATGATGGTAAAAATGGAAGCGTCCTCAGGAGAATATTACTCGATCGAACTTTTATTTAGTCGGCGCCAATATTGCACATTTGAACCACTCATTAATGTGGGAACGCTAAACAACGATAAGATTCGATGCTTTTGTCACTCGGATTCGGGTCGGATTTTGGAGCCCCAGGGACAGATCAATCTTGTTATCGCCAAAATGACAAATTTTATTTCTATTATAATAATTATGTTTTTTCCTTGAAATCCACACCTTTTACTTTGTTTTTAAATAAATAATAATTTTTCCTTTCCTCCACTTTTTTTCGTTGTTGTCTTAATAAATAGATAAAAGAGAATATTAAGATTTACTATCTTCAACTGAGATCCCAATTTTGAGACATTCTTCCACTAGGTTTACTCTGTCGGACTGTCACTTGCATTTGTGATTCTCTATTTGCAATAATAATTTTTTTTTTAACGTGGTTTCAAATACAGAGGTTTTGTGTATAAATTAGCACATTTTTTTGGTGTGGTTTTTGAGCCAGGGAGTGTCGGCTCTGGGTTTCTCTGACCAAACTGAAAAAACCTTTGTACTGAGAGAACTAACTGACACCATAATTCCTTCACTTAAACTCAAAAATTAAGAATCAATTCTCTCTCCAAACCATTTTCATCCCAACACTGTCACAGAAACAGACTTCTTAACAATTGTTAGTTACATTCTGTTTCTTCACCACCTTATAAGCTATCATCACCCTCAACTGCCTTTCATTAACAAACCTTCTTCAAAGTTCTTTTACCAGCTTTCCCCAGCCCATTCTCCATATCAGGTACACTTGCTAACATTCATACTCATCCATTCTGCGCAAAATGTTTTATTTTTAGGTTTGGCTTTGATCATCTGAATGTTTGTGGTGTTGGAATGAATATTCTGTTCTGCCTTTGATTAGTTATTGGAATGGAATGGGATCAGTGATTGTGATTGTGATTCATTTTGTGAAACTTATGGGAAACGTGTGCAGTGCAGGTTGACATTTTTGGCTTTCATTGTCATGTTGTATTAATTTCTGGTGATAACTGATATAATTTATAAATAAATGGAAATCAAGGTTAAGTAAGCGTTTTGTGTCCACGATTTTGACCACAACGTCAGAGTTTTTGAGTCGCTGTAACAGCAATTATGGCGACATTTGTGTATAATTTCTGGCAATATCAAAGATAACGACTGTGGCTGCAATTGAAAACCATGTCAATGAAAATGCAAGTTTATGGATTTTTTTTTTGGTGAGGAGACCAGTGTGAATAGGGGCATTGGGATTTTTCACTGTGGAAGGAAACCAATATTCGCACATAAGTCATAAATTCATGCTATTTCTTCTATACGAAATCAAACTGTTTGGCCTACGATTTTTGAAATACCAACTACATGAATAGATCGTTTTTTCGGTGAGTGTAAGGTCGAAGTGAAAAAGGAGTTGAAACGATGATTTCATCGGTGGAAGGGTTTCCTTTATTATGCATTTTTACTCATATATCGATGGAAAGATCGTACTCTGTTTTTCTCGTTCTCTATGCTTATGTTTATCGTTTTCTATTTTTTGGATTTGTGCAGAATGGAGAGTGGGGGAATTAGACAGTGGTTGAACCTTCTGGTGTGTGCACTGCTGTTGTTGATGGCAGAAGCTTCTTATGTGCCTATCACCTATCTTCAGAACGCGGTAGCGAAAGGAGCTGGTTAGGAAATTTGGCTATGCCTTTTCATATATTACTTGTGCTCTTAGTATCATGCTTTTTTTATTTTAATGGAGTTTATAATAATTGGGATTTTCAAAATCTTATGCAGTTTGTTTGGATGGGAGTCCACCAGCTTACCATTTTGATAGGGGATCTGGAACAGGGATTAACAATTGGTTGGTTGCTTTTGAGGTTTGTTCCTCTCTACAAATTACGAGTCTCAAATATCAAATTTGGTTCATGGTTTCATCTCACTTTTTTTTTTACAAGTTATAGAAGGTTTATTTTTATTGGATCTTAATCTATTTCATTTTTACCAGGGAGGAGGATGGTGCAACAATGTCACTACTTGCCTTTCTCGCAAGACCAACCGTTTAGGTTCATCTAAGCAAATGGCAAAGCAAATTGCCTTTTCAGGAATTATGAGTAACAGGCAAATGTTTAATCCAGGTCTTTCCCACTGGTCAATAATCTTATTTCTCTTCATCAATCCAACATTTATTTAACTTTCTAACGAGTGTTGTAAATTCCAGATTTCTACAACTGGAACAGAATCAAGGTTAGGTATTGTGATGGTTCATCTTTTACTGGCGATGTTGAAGCAGTCAATCCAGTAAGTTCAGCAAAACTCTAAGGAACTTCGACATCTAAATATAATCAAAATATAAGTCATTAGTCATTCTGTTTAAATTAGGTAACTAAGTTGCACTTTAGGGGAGCAAGGATTTTTGCTGCTGTCATGGAGGATTTACTAGCAAAAGGAATGAAAAATGCTCGAAATGTAAGAGACATTGGTGTTTTGCAACTCACTTACCTCCTCTTTATTGTTTTTTTCATTCACTCACCAGAACTTGTAACTACAGGCTATTATTTCTGGTTGTTCAGCTGGAGGATTAACTTCAGTACTTCATTGTGATAGCTTCCGCGCTCTATTACCTAGAGGAGCTAGAGTGAAATGCCTCTCAGATGCTGGTTATTTTATCAATGCGTAAGTTCATTCAGAATGCTTTTTACTTAGCTTCTTCCTAAAATATTAGGAGTTCCTTAGATCATTTTACGATTCAATATGTTACTGTTAACAGAAGGGATGTCACTGGAGCATACCACATTGAACAGTATTTCAGTCAAGTTGTTGCTACACATGTACCGCTCCTTTCCTTTTTATCTGATCAATTTCCATTTTTGGCATATGCTGCGTTCTACACACACACACAAAAATGTTACCCCCTCTTTTCATCTTCAAGATACTTCATGAAACTTCTCTTTCAAGGAAGTTCTAAAATATTCAAGTCTGATTTTTCTTTTCTTTTTTTCCTTTTATTTTTATTAGGGCTCTGCAAGGAATTTGCCTCAGTCATGCACTTCAAGACTTAGCCCAAAGCTGGTAAGTTTATGAATTATTTTTATCTCTCTCCCTTTGCAATTCCTTCTTTGATGTTACTAATTCTTTGATTTCTGAACAATCTTGTAGTGCTTTTTTCCACAATATTTGGTGTCACATATCACTACGCCAATCTTCTTTGTAAACGCCGCATACGACTCATGGCAGGTTAGATAATTCTGTTTGTCAAGATACATCACTATCAAGATAAAGCGATATTGATCTGTCTAAAAACTTGTGGTTTCTTATGCAAAATCAACTTTGATAGTATCAACCGTTGAACCAAGATTATTCTGCGTACTCTTCTTGAGATTTCTATCATTTGATATTTTGCTACTAGCTCTTAATAACTGGAGAGATCTCTCCAGTCCTTTCCCTGATCCTCAGGATGTTGTTTTGACTCAGATTAAGAACATTTTGGCACCGGGTGTTGCTGATCCTGAAGGCCATTGGCATAGCTGTAAGCTTGATATAAACAACTGCTCACCTGATCAACTCGATCTAATGCAAGGTGAATATTCTTGGATTAATTATTTGCGTCTCATGGAATCATGGCAATATCCAAACTCAGAAATTTTATTTTGTAGAATCACCCTTAGAATGCTGTCTGTTGTTTATCAAGGCTCTGTCAACAAGTGTTTATACTTTATAGCCGTTAAAATATTGACTTGAGAAAAACAACTTACTGAGATCACAATATCATATGTTGTCATATCTGAACTTTGGTAAAAGCTTTTAAGTGCCAATGAAATTCCTGATTTCAAGTTATCACAGCGCTCAATGACCTCACTTTCATGCATGGGGTTGATTTTCAGGCTTCAGGACAGAATTCTTAAGGGCGTTGACTGTGCTAGGCAACTCTTCATCTAAAGGAATGTTTATAGACTCTTGCTATGCCCACTGCCAAACTGAAATGCAGGAGACATGGTTGAGAAGTGACTCCCCAGAGCTGAAAAAGACAGTAAGAAGCTGCCTTTCTTAGCCCCCTCTCTTTAGATAATATAAAATACTTATAAATCTTTCTCATCTCTCTATAAACATACCATTTTTTACTTTTAGTTTCTTTAATTTTTATTTATGATCTGTGATGTCCAAACCTTTCGCTTTTTTGTCTTTCTTCTCAGTCTTGGTTACAAAAATGTTTGCTGATTCCATTAGGGTGTCTAGCCTGATGAAGCCACATAAACCTTTTTGTAATGGAGATTTATGGGAAGAAAAATAACCTAGAAAGTTTGGACATTATAACATAAATAAATAAAAAATCACTAAAAGAAAAAACTAGTATATTTGTATAGATTAAAAATATATTGAAACCTATATAACATATAATGAGTTATTCTGTGGCTTATGCTTTGTTATTGTCTTTCCTCCATATCCTATCAACCTGAACAAATAGCTGACTTGTCTGCATAACACTCTGCAGACAATTGCAAAGGCTGTAGCAGACTGGTTTTATGAAAGAATGGCTTTCCATCAGATAGATTGCCCATACCCTTGCAACCCCACTTGTCACAACCGCGTTTTCGAACCACAAGACGACCACCCAGGAGTATAGATACATTCATTGCATCAAAATTTAGCACAAATTTATTTCTACCATTCTTATAAAACCAAAATCATTAGTTATTGATTAGCAACATCTGATTGAATAAGAAAATCATGTTTCCAATTCTAAGACCATCAAAATAAGGAAATGCCGCCACTGCACTGTACTTGTGTGCTGGGTGTGCCTCCGCCATTGTTTAACGTCACTTATTCTTAATAAAAACTAGAACTAGTTTATTCTTTCTATGCTTCTGTTACACGATGTGTAAGAGCTTTATATGTTGTGTGAATCTTAGAAAAATGTGACCACGAAAGGAACAACAAATGCATCAGCAGCCAGAAAGCGCAATTTCCCGAGACTAACAAAAAAGGTGCGCAAGCTTGCTTGCAGTATTATTCTGCTACGAACCACACTTTCTACTCTACTTACGTTGATAGTAAAGCAACAATTTTTATTTTTTATTGCAAAGCAACAATTTCTTCTTTTTGTGCTCAGATATGTAAATTGAAATTCCCAAAAGTAGTTTCCAATTTTGGACAAATATAACCTAATTCTATTCCAAGGGTGAGAACAAGACACGGGGAAAAAACGAAATAGACGAGACGACAATGCAAATTGTTTCAATCATAAATAGTGATATTAACAAAAATATTATTAAACAGTATGTTATTGAAATATCTTATCTTCTTTCATTAATATAGTAATATATTTTCACAAATCAATTCGTCGCAAACATTACGCGCTTTGAGCAATTGCAATTGTCTTTTCTCAATTCTCATCTCTCGAAGCTCTAATCGCCGTTGTCATCAATCGCCGCCGCGAAACTCACCTTGGCCGGAATCGTATCGTTTTAGAAGGCGTTAGCTTTGTAACCTGTCCTGCCGTTTACCTTCTTCAATCATGTCGTTTAATCTGTTACAATTACAATTTCACCTCACTGGGGATCAAAGTACAAACACATCTATCTCTGAATTTTGATGATTTGCATTTAAAACTCGCATGTTCACATAAATCATCCGCACCATGTCCTACATGGTATATATATACACGTACAAATATATTATTTATCTATTTGTCGATTACGATTCGTCAATGAGAACAATTTTTCGCCGCAGAGAGCATTTCCTTTTTATTATTATTATATTATGCTCCTTAACATCATGAACTATGATGTTGAAACTCGAACTTTGTTTTCTTAATGTTTCATTTTTTTTTATTCCGTTTGTAGGCACAATGGATCGAGCTTGTGTGCATTAATCGAGGGATCGGTGGTCTTCTAACGTTGGTTCTTCTGGTAAACGTAAATGTATAAAGCTTTTTTGTTCATAAATTTTGCAGAGGGGTGAAATTTATATGGTCCTTGCATCTCTTATAGATCATCCTATAAAAGCTGATTTGCTATGCTGATTAAATCTGACACGGCTGGACCATCTCTTCCACTGTCTTCAATGTAAGAAGGGTTAGTTATGAATTCATGATTTATGGTTGTGAACTTTTGACCGATGTGAATTTTGTTGTATTGTTGAGTGACATGTTTATGGTAGTTTCCAAAGCTGATAGTGATAGAATCCTCTTGCTTCTCATATTTGTTCAGTAGCTAATATCACAATTCATTTCATGGGACCACAATCCTTGTTAGTATCACAGGGTCTATGACTCTATCACAGTAAAGCTGTTATGGAGAAGCTGTTTTGGGTCATGTCGCTATTGTATGATCCCCCAGTTTGTTGTAACATTTGTAACAATTTTTTACTTGAATGAAATTACTGGAATATATGTGTTTGTTATGCCTTTGAGTTTATCAAGTTTTGTTTGAAAATCAGTGGTTGAAATTTAGTAATATTTTTTTTTGGGATTTTTCAAATGTTGAGGAACTGCTTTTGTATTTTGGGTTTTTATTTTTGTTGTTTAGAAATAATGGATTGATCGATCGGGTGCTGGCTGTGCAGAGGAAGCAGAAATAAAGCCAATTCCATTGGATTGAATCACTTTCTGGCTTTGTACAGACTGCAATCAATTCCAGACACAGAGCTTCATAATTGGATTCAGTCAGAGTAAGCTTGAATTTAGCTGGAATTGCTTGGGCCTATATAATTATTTGCTGCTTTATTTTTGGTGAAGGGGATGTTCTGGTGTTTCTGTTTGACTTCTTTTTCTGTGCCATCTATAATTTAGGCATGTTTGTTTAAAGTGAAAGAGAGAGTATTTGTTTAAGGTAAAAGATGGTGAGAGAAGAAAAAAGTGATATGAGAGAAGAAAGGTGGTTTTCTAAAGAAGAAAGGAGATGAAAATTCAAAAATCAATGTGAATTAAATAAATTTCTCCAGAAAAAAAAAACGTGAAAAGTTAATATAAAATGCAAAATAATCAATCATATTGACGATTATGTGCTTTCATTTCAAGTATAATATCTCTATTTTCAGTAATGTAATTGATAATCAGTTATAGTTTTTAACATTTTTTTTCAGTTTGATTTTTATAATAATAATTAATAATAAAAATAATAATAGTACATAATACTTTCATATTATTTTTTATTTTTACAATAAAATATTTTCTATTCTTGCTTTTAATATAGTTTTAAACCGGACATTAATGAAAAAAAAAATTGTTACTGATCATGCAATTCATTTGTTTTTCTCTCTTTGCATACTGATATATTAGTTCAACATGTGTGAAGTTCCATTGTCTCAGCATTATGAGTTATTGAAGTTGCTGATGAGTTAACTTAGCAGTTTCTACCATCAAACATGAAAATATTTTCAGTGGAAGATCTTTCCATAACATGTAATAACATAGCATCTACTGGACACTTTTTTTGTTTGGTTCTTTCTGTAATATTAGATCGTTATAATTTTGAAGGCTCAACTTGTAAAAAGATCATGACCATTTCATTTTCATATCTCTTCAGGTGACATCATCTTGGTTCGATTTTTTATGAGGCTTTAAGACGAGAGCTCCACTGGCCACTAAGGGGTCATAAACACACATAAGTTGTGTACCCAGATCCACTATTATGGTATCCATTCATCACTGACATTGCTGAAACACCAAGTTTTTTAGTACTTTTTATATTCAAATTTTCGATCAGTCAAACATTTGAATTTTGGTTGCTGCTTAAAAAGGTGATCTGTTTACACAACATATAACTCTGGTCCAATAAAATTTGAATTAGTGATTTGTCCTTTCAATTTTATTAATTTTTACTTTAGTTCTATATTTACGTTTTCTCATTATAATCCTTTGTCTCTTTTTCGAGTTTCAATTTATTCTTTTCTGGCAGTTGTGCTGGTTTTTAATACTGAAAATTGCTGGCTTTGTGTTTTTTTTAATCAATTGTACAATCACTAAAAAGAATAACTTTTCCATCCAATGAGTATATTAGAGACTTCAAACTCAAAAATAGAGTACTTTTGCTTGATTCCTCATCTTTTAACCATATCTCTGTTGTTGGAATTGGTGGTTGATATCTTGATCGAGAAGATGTCGAGGAAAATTAATGAATCTAATGAATCTCTATCTTATAAGAGCTATGGCCACTCGTTGTATGCCTAATTTTAAGGAAGATCCCTCCAAAGAGATGCACTTGCATTAGTTGGGTAGTAGTCAAAAACTACTTAGGATCTTGGACTTATCTATTTGGGGACTCCTTCTAATGTATTTTAGTGGGTAGTTGCTATTTGTTGCTTTCTGATTTGGTTATCATCTTCTTCAATGCCCATGTTTGTTTCATCACCTACTCCCTATGTTAACATTTTTCATATAGGATTATCCAACAAAATTTGACATTGCTTATTTCTTTGTATGCATGGGCTTTGACATTATATTTTAAAAGTGAAATTTTATTATTATACTTTAACTAAAACCATAATTAGTTGAATAGTTATAGTTTATTTATGTTAATGTAATGTTACAAAAATAGAAAATAAATTAGAGGAACAAAATATTAATTTACTGTATAATTAATCATAATAAATATACTGATTTGAACATGTTTTTAAGAATTCTAGTATAATTTCTTTAGTAAAACTGTTCCAACTATTTATTCATTGCTAGCAACATCAATGAATAATTTCTGTGTCTCAAGTGATGGAACACGTCTTCTTACTAAAGTATCTAATTCATCACACTCCACATATTTGGAGTTTAGGAATCTGTGCTTTGACATTACTATTGGAATATGGTGTGACACAAAAAACAAAATCCTTCAAGGGAAACAACAAAGAAAATGAAGGGTTAAATGAATTAGTTTATTATTGAATAATTTGAAAATTATTATTAAATAATTGCTGTAGACCATCTCAGTGTATTATCTAATCCATCATTTTGGATTGATTTGGACTTTACGTTTATGTGCCTTGATGTTGTTACCATCTGCATTTGGTGGGACACTAAAAAATCACCCTGCTTGGAAAACCACAAAAAATGTCAATTTAAACAGTACATTAGTGAGTTATTTCATAATTTTCAAATAAAGGTGTATATTAACAAATATAATATGTACCTAAGCTTATAAGTAATTTATAATTGAGATTTAAAATTTTCTAAGTTAGACTTTTTTTAATCTAAATTATAAATTTGAAACATATATAAAATTTTCTACAAATTAATAGTTCAATAGTTTTCTTATTAATTCAAACTAGTAATATAATCTTTAATCAATTTCATTTTTTTGTTTAAATCTTCTGTCTTTAAAATTCATAATCAATATTAGAGCTTTTAACAGCATATGTTAATCCTTTATGGTGGGTTTCGATTACCATGTAAAAAAACAATCTTACTATACCATCTATTGATAAAAACTTTACTTCATAAATCTCATGAATGGATATAATTATAAAAACATTACAAAAAGTTATTCATTAATTTAAAATTAATCATAAAAATAATATTAAAACAGCCATTCCATTATGCATATAATATGTGATATAATTGAAAATCCAAAGAAAAATATAATAAAATGGTTTACAAGAGAATGAAATGTGTATTTGTAATTAACTAACTCACTGTGGTAAGTTTACTGGTACGATATTAGAGTATTCCGAAGCATTTTAAAAAGAGTTTTGTTTATAAAAATAGAAAAAATCCTTTACTTATAGATTTTAAACCAATTAACAGTAGTCTTTAAAAAAAAAAAAACTTTTTCAGACCTTTTATTTATTTTATGTTGGACATCACACGTTTTTTTAGGTGGAATAGGAAGGAAACATTTGAAGGATATATCTGGTTCTGTAACACATTAATAACTAATAATAATAGGAATAGAGAGTAGGTTAAATTAATAATTTATTTATTATAAATAATATTTTTCCAACCTCACCAGCATAAAAAATTAAAAGTAAATTATACCAGTTCTCAAATTATAGTTTTTTAAATTTTATACTCAAATTCTGATATCTTTTTTTATTACAACAAATAGATTTAACATTTTCATTTGTTGTTTTAATGGGAGTTAAGTTAGTTACCGTTACCACTTGTGTGTGTTGTTTTTCTGACGAAAACAGCGGACGTGGCGTGGGTGGGAAATTGAGCATTGAAATAAGGTAAAATGAAAGAAAGAAAAAAGAAAAAGGTTTTGTTGGTGGCAGCTCCACCTGATTTGTGAGATTGAATGCGATTGAAAGACACGCTGCATTCGCCGTACACCACAGACACCTATATTTTAATCCCCAGAATCGTGGGGGCACACACAAATTAAATGTTTTTTTTTATATCTACAGCATTTCTTAAATTTATAATTTTTTTTATTTCAAAATTACATCGTTTGAAAAAAGCTCTTGAATTTTTTAAACTCCACGTAAAACCCAAAGTAAAAACTCAACTACATTGAATTGAATTAAAGTGCAGACACAGCTACAACTTTATTTTATGTTCTCCTCGCTTTTCTTAAAAAAAAAAAGCCTCCTTTTCCGTTTCCCTGCGAGTTGCTTTGTCTCATTCCCTCAGCTACTCCCATCACCACCACACTCTATCTTTTCCCTCTTTACCCTCTTCTCTTCTCTCTTCTTATTCACACATTCACATTCAAAACTCCGTCACTCCAATCCAATGCACCACAACATCCCGCAAAAATCCCACTTTACTTCCCCATCTCCGTAGATCTGAACCACCCGGGATCTCAAGAAAACTGCATTTTGATTTCTGGGTCTTGCCGTTTGCTCCATTGGGTACTCCCGAAAGCATTCGTTTCCAGAGTTTTTGGTTGTTGAGATGGGGTCCAGTGGCAGCAAAGCCACGTCATCATCGTCTTCTTCGGGGAGTTTCAGGAAGGGTCGATCTAAGGGGCACAGAGGTTTCCCGTCTTATTGTCTGGGAACGTCGTCTGGATCTCATGACATTGATAGTGATGACCAGGTAACGTTAACTTCCTTGGTTTTTCAAACTTTTTCACATCCCTTTCGATGTTACGTCAATTAGATTTAAATTTAAAGGATAATTATTTCCAAAATTTTCATTAAGCCTACTTTTTTTAAAACAAAAAAAATCATTTATTCCGTGTTACTTTTAAATGTATTTGAAAGCTATTGGTTTTCGTAATTTACTGGTGAGACTCCTAATAAATGGATTCTTAATGGAAGAGACGGTTTAATTTTATAAGCTTCTTGAAAGATGCAATAGTATTTTATACAATAAGAAAACATCCTTTACCTCAAATCTTGAAGTGTGCTTATACATTGGTTGATTAGCTTCGCTTTAATGTAAACTAGTTTCAAGAAGAAATTTGACAGTAAGATCATATGTTGGGAGAACATGTATTGAGAGATGTCAGTTCCTTAAATGGATTCCCTGCCAGGGATTACATCAAGTTCGTCCAAAAACAATTATAATGCATTGAGATTCTGTTACAACTTGCAAATTTTTAAAATTTTAGTTGGTGGTGTGTTAGGACGTTCTTAACACCTATGCCTCTGTCTTATTGTTAGCCTCATTGTCCTAACGGGGCTTATGTTGTTTTTAGATAATGACATGCCTGTAAGGTTTTTTAGAAAATAATATAATGGAATAGTTTCTCTTCACCATTTGTTCTCATATATTTGTTTTCTTGTATCACTGTCATGAATCGAAACAGTTTTGGAATTGGTCAAGGTTTTTTGTCACTAACTGCCTAACTGTAGTTTGAAACATATGCCTTAGGTTTGTGATCAACATAAAGTAAATGGAGATGATGCGACATACACCAGTGGCAATGGAATAGACTCAGATGAAGGGAAGACAGAGTCTTTTAGAAAGGTGAAATCGAATAAATCTGATGAAGTGCCTTCTAACATTGACCTTGAAGAGTGGGGCCACACTGCATCCAGAACCGGTAGCAGCTCTGCACATTCTTCTTCAAATCAGTCCTTGAACCCTTCAAGTCGGTTCCTGTCTCGCTTTAGCCTTGTTCCTGGTAATATAAGCTTCAGACTTAGCAGAACCACAAGTCTGGGGTCGTCTAGGCCTTGCCCAGTTTCTTCAACGAGTCTCTCTATCTTTAATGATGAAGATGAGCTTAGTCTTCATCGAGGGCCTCCTGGCAGCTTGATGAATAGAAATGAAACTCAACGCCGTAGTGATTTACAGTGTCATCGTGAAGAAGCTTCTAATAATTTACGACCCAATGCCCCGGCATTGGTTTCGCCTGGTAATTTGATTAGCAATCGCCCACTTTCTTCTGTTCAGGATGTGGTTAGAGATAGAAATGGTACAAGAGAAGGGCCTGATGTCAACATGTTTTCTCCAAGAATACATACTGATACAGAAAATATTGAAACTAGACATACTGATAGACGAAATGGAGCTCGAGAACCTGTTGAGCGTAATGTTCGTTTTAGCAGAACTTTAAGTGTTGGAAGGCTCCGTGACAGAGTTCTCCGCAGATCAACATTGTCAGACTTCACCTTTTGCCCTATGCAACGAGAGAGAGAAGTAAGAGATGCTGGTCAAGACAATGGAAGACGAGTAGGGGACAGAGACACAAGAGTGTCACCAAGTGGTCGTAATGCTTCAAATTCTTCTACACCTAGATATCCCCTACCCAGTACACCTAGCTCCTTGTTTGGCATCCAAGACTTTGATGTTGAGACTTCACGTTCTAGAGAAACTAGGTATCAGGATCTACTGGAACATAGGTCCAATTTCCTGGAACGGAGAAGAAGAATACGGTCCCAGGTTTGTGGATTTGATGAATTTTTTGTTAACAACTAACTGATGCTCTGATAATATGCTACCAAAATAAAAAAAAATTCCCGCATCTGGAAAGAAACAAAAATGAAAAACCTTTTAGACTAGTAGTTTTTTCTCTGGAAACATCTGTGCATGTTCTCTTTCTTCATCCCTGGAGTTTATTCATTTTTAATGGTGCAAATTTTGAATGGTATAGGTCCGTGCTCTTCAGCGTTTGGGAAGCCGGTTTGAAAATCTTTCTGGACATGACAGATCATGTATCTTATCTGGTCAACATAGAAACGGTCGTTGTGCATGCAGAAACAATAGTCGTGATACCAATTCAAATGATGATACCAATGCTAGAGCTAGCATATCAAGAATTGTTATGCTAGCTGAAGCCTTATTTGAGGTAAGTTTAAGGTCCTGTGTTATCTGTTCTGGTGGCCATTCATTCTATATATTTATACAGGTTGAATATTTTAACATATTTTAATTAGGTTCTGGATGAAATTCACCAGCAATCTGTGGTTTTATCTTCTCGCCCTTCTGTGTCATCTATCGGTTCTGTTCCTGCACCTAACGAAGTTGTGGAATCCTTGCCTGTCAAATTATACACAAAGTTGCACAAACATCAAGAAGAACCTGTACAGTAAGTGTTCGAGCTTACCCTCCCCCCAGTGTTCATTTTCTTAAATGCCTTTGGATTTTTCTTTTTCCTGTCCACTTTCATTTATATTTATTTAGTATACGTTCCCTCTTACATCTATGTTGTGTTATATGTCTCACAAAATGTAGACCGTATGCAACTATTCATAACAGATTAAAAAGGAGAGTGAACAATAACAATTACTAATCAGTCATGTCTTATGAGATCACACTTGATTCATTTTAGTATGCAATTTTGGATGTTGTAATGTTTGCATGATGTGATGGCATGAAAATGTTAACTGATACCAGATACTGTGAAACTGTACCTCACACCTCCATAACCAGTTATTGTTGTCACTTGCTGCATATTTAGCTTTATCTATTCATGACTGTCTTTTTTTTTTTTTTTTTTGCTTGTCGTTGCATGTGACCTTAACCCCCACTTTTACTTGTTTTAGTCAGCATGCTGATGTGCATTTTATTTTAAACCTATCTATCACTATCTAAGTAAAAACTTGTTTAGCATTTCCCTTATGCTAACATTTTTCCTTTTTCTTTTGGCCTTTACTTTTGCAGATGTTATATATGCCTTGTGGAGTACGAGGATGGAGACAGCATGAGAGTTCTGCCTTGTCATCATGAATTTCATACAACATGTATAGACAAGTGGCTGAAGGAGATTCACAGGTATGTGGATATGGGAATTGGGGCGTCCTTTTGGTTTATTTTAGGACTATTAGGAATAAAAACATAAAATTTATGTCAAATTGTCTATTGCTACATCTATGTATTCATGGAACTGCGGTGGAATCAATCTAGAAGGGCACATAAAGAACGTAGAGGAGTGAGTTGTACATCTATTTTTTAAACTAAACGCACTCTACTGAGTAAACTGTAAAACAAAGCAGGTAAAACTGCAAAACTATATGATGCTAAACTTTCGTGATTGACACAACTGACAAAATGCTGTGCGATATATGAGCTTTTACCATCTTTTCTTCAACCTATTCAACTTGTGGTCCAACCACCATGATATTCTGTGATGGATAATGGAAGATTTGGATGCCCTTCTGAGATCATGATGTTATGGATTTCTACTGTTTTTAATCCTTGGCAGTTCATTGGACCCTGCTAAAATAATTGATGGAATTCCTTTGCATCTTAAAATTGAGCTATATATGTCCTGATGTACCATGTTGTCCTCTATTCATATGATCATTATGTTACTATCTTTACATGCAACTCATGTGCTAAAGATGCTTGGAAATGTGTATCTCTTTAACTTTTATTATATCAAACACAGGGTGTGCCCGCTATGTCGAGGGGATATCTGTGTATCTGATTCACTGCCAAGGGAGAACTAAGGTGGCCAATTGTTAATCAACATCTCCTGAGATACTCATGGCTCCTTTTCATCATTGCACATAAGCTGATGTGACTCCATCAGAAGAAACATTCTCATTGTTGTCAATGATTATTTACTACAATTTCTGAATAAACAAATCAAACCATGGTAGAAATAGAGTGACCTACTAGCTCTCTACCCTTTATCACCAAGTGAAGCAAATGGCCAAAAAGGTGGGTTGTGGTATTGTTTAATGGAAAAAATTTCCAACATGTTTGAGAAAAAGGTTCTCTTATGATGTAATCCGACATCCTTTTGTTTTGCCCCCACTTATTGTTAAACACACAATTTGGAAAAAAGCATCAGTCAAATGAGCGCTTTTGGTCATCCATGAAACTGCAGATTGGGGCAGCATCTTTGACTGAATCATACTCTTTCTCTCTAGACCAGTCAACCAAGTGGGCTTCAAAACAATAACCAGTGGTGCATGCGTGTGATGATACCCCTTTTCACTTTTCAGAGGAAAAAGGGAAAGAAGCATTTGAATTGCCGTGTAAATTGAGGTAGACAAATGGTAGTTGTCTCCTGACAGACCTGAAAGACCACCATCTTCGCTTATTTGTTGTACAAATTTGGTCTGCCTCGTGTGCTTTCAATTGTTCTGTTCCTGTTCTCCCCATGCATGGTCATGACGCAGGGTGGTTGCATCGTCATTAACTAGAGTTTTGGATCACTCACTTATCTTCATTGATCTGTCAATTTTTTTTTATATTAGCTTAATATTTTTATAATTTTATATCATGGTATATTATTGCAGTAACCTTGTACATTTTCCATGTTTCAGTGCCAGCTCTGTCCTCAACCTTGTTATATCACTTGCAAGATTACTACTGCTATTATTATTATTATATTATAATAATAATAATAATAATAATTACTATTATTATTACTACTCCTATTCAATCCAACATGAAATTATTAATGAATTAAATGTGTTGATTTTCAATAAAATTATGTTCTGATTTTTAGCTAGGGGGTAATTATGAGCAAAACTATCATTATCATTATTAGATATAACCTAGAAACCGTAGGTAATATATATAGTTATATAAAGTAATATATTAGTATATATCTTTTGTATATGGTTGAGTTTGAGTTTTCTTTTAAATTGGTTCAGACGGAGGATAAGTAATATAATTCTCCCTTTCTCCGATCTTACTTATGAAAATATTAATTTTATTTTTATGTTTATTCTTTCCTTTTTAAAGTATCTTTAACAAAATTTTCACATGAATCCTTATGCCATTTTCTTTCACAAAATAGTTTTAACTAACTTTTATTAATTAATGTAAACTATTTTTTAATTATCTGACGCAATATATTTTAGTCGAAATTTAAATAAATATTTAACTTATATTTCTTGCCGACAATGAAGTTATTTAATATTCCAAGGGTAAAAAGTGTACACCCAAGAGAAAACAACGTTATCATTATTTTTTTATACCAATCAGTATACACCCAAGAGAAAAAGTATTATCTCTCTTTTATGAGTTAAATTTTAGTGTGTATTTCTTTTTAAAATTTGACATTTTAAGGGAGATTATTTTAAATTATGTTATTATTACATAATATTTACTAAATTGTTGATAAACTAAGTCTAAAAAAAATTTGGTTGTTCATATTTAATGGAGTCTCCTCTTTCGATTACCTTTTTCCATGCAAAAGACTCAAAACACTATTTGTAAAAGAAAAGATCGAAAGTATAACAAGAAATCGAATAAACAAGAGAGAGGGAGAGAAGAAATAAGTAAGAGATAAAGATGATTTGATTAAAGGGAAGTGATGATAAAATATTTTTATTATAATATTATATATATATATATATATATATATATTATTGATTTAATATTAATAATATTATTTTGTTATTTTTTTCTATAAAATAAATCAAACCCTATAATCGATTATTTGACCCATAAATAATTCATCATGAGTCCTCTATCTTATCTTTCTACTCATCCAAACCAATAATAAAAAAATATACACATGAAGTGTTTATAATACGTTTATATTATTTTTTAGACTATAATGAAGTTCTTTATGACGAAACATAAGAGATTATTTTACTACAAATTGCTACAATTCCCATGCTTCGCAAATGCAAAGGTTTATATTCTCAATTAATAGTATTGGATTAGTATATTGATTTTGTATATTTATATGGGTCTAAGTAGCCTTAATAAGATACATTTTTTAATTTATGTATCACTTTTTTTATCTCAACAAATTTTAATATGCATGTACATTATTGATAATAGTAGTATAGGGTGCATGTGTTGTAATAATAATAATAAAAAAGGATGCATATTTATACAACAAACATGTCATAGGATTTTAGTGTGTTAAGTTTGAACGAGAATACATGTGGTTTGTTATATGATACGAACCATAAAAAAGTACAAGAATTCCAAATATTTAAAAACATTTTGTTCTTAGTGACAGAGGGATTGAGAAATCAAGGCCCAAGTAGCAGGTGGAGTGGTTTCCGTCGGGCCACTTCATGTCACTGAATAGTCAGAAGAAGAGTGAAGAAGGTGGAAGCGTCAACACTGAATTCTGAAGATGAAGAGCATAAACGACGACGCTTCGACGCAAGATCTCGACCCTCAGAGCGACCACAGCTCCGATTACTTAGCTCACCCAAACTCTCACCCCCAACCCCACCCTCACCCTCGCCGTCCCCGGGGTTTCGCGGCGGCGGCGGCGGCGGCGGCCACCACCAATTCCCCCGCCAAGGGAAAGAAGGAGAGAGAGAAGGAGAAGGAGCGCACCAAGCTCCGCGAGCGACACCGCCGAGCCATCACCAGCCGCATGCTCGCCGGCCTCCGCCAGTACGGCAATTTTCCTCTGCCTGCACGTGCCGACATGAACGACGTACTCGCCGCGCTGGCACGTGAGGCTGGTTGGGTTGTCGACGCCGACGGCACCACCTACCGCCAGTGCCCCCCTCCCTCTCACATGGTTCCTTTTAAATCTCCGAAACTTTCACGTTTGAGCTTTAATTAACTGATGATTGTGGCTGCTTATTATTGAATACTCCAATTTGTCGATGGTTTGGAAGTTGAGATGTGAGCTACTGTGACAATGTGATTGAATTTAGTTAGTTGCTTGTAAGAAAGAAAAAACGAGAGAATAAATATTTCATGCCGACACTGTAAAATTTACATTGTCATTTAATTACAAGCTGCCATATCTAGGTTGTTGAGTTTAGAATAACTATTCTAAGAATCATCCAAAGTATAATTTATATTTGGTTGACAGTAAAAACTTTTATGCTGAGAGTGCATGCCTATTAAAGCTGGGATGTAAAATAAGAAAATGAAACGAAATGTTTGGCTGGGAGATGATTTGTTTGTTGCTAATTTTAAGTTTTTTCCCCTTTTGTGTAATGTAATGTGTTCTAATGCAGGGGTCATTTGCGGCTAGGTCAGTTGAAAGTCAACTCTCTGGTGGTTCTTTGAGGAATTGTTCTGTTAAGGAAACTATTGAGAATCAGACATCTGTGCTTAGAATTGATGAATGCTTGTCGCCTGCGTCCATTGATTCTGTTGTAATTGCAGAAAGGGACTCAAAGAGTGAGAAGTATACAAATGCGAGCCCCATCAATACTGTTGACTGCTTGGAGGCTGATCAGGTAATTTTGATGGCTAATTCTAGAGGATGCATACGTATTTGATGCTGATTCTGATTTACACAAGCTATAATTTTAATTTCTCTTGCTGTTTTCCCTGTTTGCAGTGATCTGAAATCTAAGCACTTAACTAAATATAATGATTATAATTTATGTGATTCTATATTTACACTATTGAGTTTTCGTGATATACCATTGATAACGATTGTAAATTTGACATTCTTATGGCTAATATTTTTGAGGGGCAAGATTTGGACACCAATTGCATAATGATTATTTCGTATGTTTTTATTTTGGACTTGAGTGATGGGTTTAACTTTAATTTAAGATGGTTGTGGAACAGTATTTGAAACCACAAGGTTTCTATTCTTCTCAATAAATTATTTATCATTAGTTTGTTCCATTTTCATTTTTATCAACATTCACCGATTTGAAACACCTCTATTCCTTTTGGAACCAAGTCACAAAATGATTTATTCGGTTACAGTTTGCAGTTTTCAGAAATGAAAGAAGTAATGGAGAGTGTTAACAAATACACTTAATATTTAGAATTTTCTCTCCTTGATTTGAGAGTATATTTGCTTGATATAATGGTGAGGTGCTCATAACCATCAGGGACAACCTGACTATCAAGATAAGTAAAATTCACTATAAATCTTTATAAGCAAAAATTGACATTGACATTGACAATGCTGATATAGAACAATATAGGAAACAAATATTGCACCTGAATTTACTGCACTGATACTAATCTTGCAAATGCCACTCCCTCAATGGCTTTGTTATGGTTCCTGACATGCCATATAGTTTTTAGATTGAAACTAAATCATTCTCTGTATTTAGTGCTTTTAACTTGCATCAATTGCCATTATATTGAGCCTTATATATGAGCAAATGTGATCCAGGACTAGCTGATAGTGTAATTTGTTGATGCAGCTTATGCAAGATATTCATTCTGGGGTGCATGAAAATGATTTTACTGGCACACCATATGTTCCTGTTTATGTAAAGCTTCCAGTAAGTGTCCTCCATTTGCTACTTGCTGATAACTAGCTTTGATCTTGTGTAATTTGTCAGTTCTAGAAAACAAATTATAATTTTACAACTTTCATTTTTGTCTCCATTTTAGTACTTTGTTTTCCTTGTATTTGATTATAAGGTTTCAAAATTTGGTCTTTTTATTGCAGGCTGGTATTATTAACAAATTTTGCCAATTGATTGATCCTGACGGCATTAGGCAGGAGCTAATCCATATCAAGTCTTTAAATGTAGATGGTGTTGTTGTGGATTGTTGGTGGGGCATTGTTGAAGGCTGGAGCTCACAGAAATATGTGTGGTCTGGTTATAGGGAGCTTTTTAACTTTGTTAGAAAATTCAAACTTAAGTTACAGGTACTATTTTAATTGCTCACATAATCTTCTACATGCATAATGCATTTGAAAAAGAAGAATTACCCAACACATTTGCTTTGTGGTATGTGGTGCATGTCTGGGGTTTCTGTAATTGGTCTAAGTCATTTATTTTCTTTCACAGCATTTTCTAGTTTGGACTTTTGATCATGGTTATAAGTATTATATAATTCATGATACGACTTGACAGTATGTGAGTTGTACCAAATTTTTGTCTTAATAGCATATATGAATTGTTCAAATTGCAAATGAATTGTGTCTGGCATGCGAGTCTTCTGCTGTGGGTCACAATACCTTGCTATCCAAAGGCCATCACATACTGTGGCCGCAAAAAATGGCCCTTGAAACAGGCCAATTGCACTGCACTGCATATGTACGGCATTCCACTTACATTGCATTTGCTGATGGTGGGTCAAGAAGGGAGATGACAGGATACATGTATATATATGAGGAACTTTTATATTTTATATCCAAGACAAAAACCACCGATATACAATTTTTGACTTGGGCCATAAGCTATCTGTTGGGCCCATGTATTCATATAGGACTTTCTAATCTCTGTTAATCACAGTATAGGGAAAAAAGAGAAAGATCTAGATTCATTATTATTCTTTTAATATTTAAACAAAGATATTTTCTAATCATGATATGTGAGAAATTAAAATAAAAATTATTTTGAAACTTACATGTTTTTAACTTCAGAATGTTAATATATGTGTATTTATTATTTATGTCTTTAATGTTAAATTGCTCTTAGAGTTATCTTTATTATTAATTTTGAATCTTACGATTCATGGTTCTAAAAATGGGCCTTCTGAACCATAATATGTATCCCGATTCAACTACCATGCTTTTGATAGATATCCCACCTATTAAACTCTTGAAACTAGTAAAAGACATGACCCACATAATATGGAACAGAGTATTCCAGGATGAACAGATGCTGTCAAACTCTCTATGACATTTACTTTTTATATGAAAATTTAGACAGTAGCTAGTGGGTGATTTAAGTAGTAGTATTTCCCTTTATTGATTAAACCCAACTGATTTTTTATATTTTTTTACGAGCAAAAATTCAAACAAAATTTAAGTTGGATTTTATAAGAATGAAATATATTTAGAATTCTTCGTCGATGCGATATGTAACTTTTTCCATTCATTCCTTTCTTGATCAGTCGAGGTTTTACAAACTGTATCGATGATATGGATGAACCGACTACTTCATAGAAATGTGTAAAAAATAGAGTTTAGTTTCTTCAGTGGAATTCATAAAACCTTTCTCTCGCTAGCATGATGGTTGAAACAGCATTTAAATAGTGTCAGATATTTCTGTAATTTGATGTGTATTTTTTTCATGGGAATTGGGAACCATCTTTAAAGTTGTTGGAGAACCTTTCTTGATTCTTATTTAAAATTCTGAAGGTTGTTATGGCATTTCATGAATGTGGAGGGAATGATTCTAGTGATGCATTGATTTCCCTCCCACAATGGGTTTTGGATATTGGAAAAGACAACCAGGATATATTCTTCACAGATCGTGAAGGACGGAGGAATACTGAATGCCTTTCTTGGGGGATTGACAAAGAACGAGTTCTTAAAGGCAGAACTGGAATTGAGGTATGAAAAATTCTATCACCACTGCTAGATTCGATTTGATATTCTAATTATGATTAAATGTATGTTAGTTACATTTACATACTAATTTTTGGTATAGTTTATATTTCACGTTATTAAAAAAATAAAACACCAGGCCTTTCTAGTATCTGTGCAATTCGATGTGGTCATAGATTTTATTCTTTGGAGCATTCTTCAATTGAAATCTACTTGTGTTTGTTACTGATTAGCCTTTTCTGAAAATATGCAGGTCTATTTTGATATGATGAGAAGCTTTCGGACAGAGTTTGATGACCTGTTTGCAGAAGGTCTGATTTCTGCCGTTGAAGTTGGACTTGGAGCATCTGGAGAGCTGAAATATCCTTCTTTCTCAGAAAGAATGGGATGGCGGTATCCTGGTATCGGTGAGTTTCAGGTACCTCATCGTGGTCTAATTGCAAAATTGTTGCATTGTTCTGTACCATAAATCGTGTATGTGCTATCATATTAAAGTAGTACTGTTTTCTGTCTCATCTTTATGGGCAGTGCTATGATAAATACCTGCAACATAGTCTCCGGAGGGCAGCCAAATTACGTGGACATTCTTTCTGGGCTAGAGGACCTGATAATGCTGGACATTACAATTCTTTGCCGCATGAAACTGGATTCTTTAGTGAGCGAGGTGATTATGACAACTACTATGGACGATTCTTCTTACATTGGTACTCCCAGACATTAATAGACCATGCAGATAATGTTTTGTCTCTTGCAACCCTTGCTTTCGAGGAGACAAAAATAATTGTCAAGGTAGTGTTCCTGGTATAGCAGTTTTTTTCTCTAGTAGTTTTGTCTAGGTCCTAACGAATGACTAAATTTGGATGATGTTTGTTACTGCCAGCATTATCAAGGTTTGCATTATTTAGATTGAGCTTGGTATCCCATTTTAGAACTGTATTTGCATTTACTACACATTTTAAATTTCAGAGACTTTTCATGGAATAAATGTTAATGGTATATAACTCCTTACCCATAAAACATAATGTGATTGCATAAATAAAATTTTAGGTTAAGATATGGAAATAGTAAACGCCAAAGGGGAACAGAGTGAAACATTGTGAGGAAAACTGGGAAAGAAGATAATATGAATATCCGAAAGGAAACTCAATTTTAGAATTAACATTTGACTGCAGATTTCAAAGAATGGAATTTATATCCAAGTCTCAAATGTGATCATCTTTCAGGTATCATTCTGCTACAAATCCAAATGGATAATGAAGATATTTGAGAGCAGCATGACATTAGACTAAAGGATAAAACCAAGAGAGAATGAAAAAATTAGCGTTAAGCATAGTTTCACATGGGATAGAATTTAATTAATCTGTAGAAGAGAGAAAACTCTATAAAATTTACTTCCTTCTTTAATTTTGTGTGCAACATTTAATATTTCTAGAAAACTTCCTCGAGATTTTCCCCATACTTAACCCCAAAAAACCGAAATAGCCTGAGGGTGAAACTTTTGCAATAGCATTTATAAATTACAAGAGTGTTATTACTTAAGTCCGTGGAAGTTGTAATTCTATTCTGCAGTGTGTTTATTTATTTGAATTAAACCAAATTCTGTCAATTCCTTTTAATGTTTCACTATGTCTGGCCTCTAAATGGAACAATTACCAGTGTTAATTTGTTTCTTATGCATATTTTATTCAATGAAAAAGGCTTGTTAGAATTCTTTCGGTGGGCATGTAAGAGGTCAGAAATGAAGATTCGAATATCCAATAATGTAAAAGGAAAATCCAAGTTTTAATTATTCTCTTCAGTTTTTTTATTTAAGATGTTTAGTGCCACATGTATTTAAACTTAGGAAGCAGTCATTACATCTTCAAAAATCATATCGCGCCTTAGAAAGTAGAAGTATATAAACTGAAACTATGTCATTTTCTTCAAATTGACGAAATTATATCATGTAGGTTCCTGCTGTATACTGGTGGTACAAGACTCCTAGTCATGCAGCAGAGTTGACAGCAGGATATCACAACCCTACAAATCAAGATGGGTACTCTCCTGTGTTTGAGGTTCTAAGAAAACATGCCGTCACCATGAAATTTGTCTGCTTAGGGTTTCATCTTTCCAGCCAGGAACCTAATGAATCATTGATTGATCCAGAGGGTCTGAGTTGGCAGGTAATGTTTTCCTATGTTCTTAACCTTTGGAAGAATGATTCTTCTGATGACACGTTTAGGTAGGAGTGTTGCTTATTTAGGTAGTTTGCATAACATATTTTGGTCAACATGGACGATTGGACCCAAGGAAGGATGTTTTCATCTATTTATTATATTTTATGTTTACGCAGGTGTTAAACTCAGCTTGGGATCGGGGGTTGATGGCTGGTGGCGAGAATGCACTCCTTTGCTATGATAGAGAAGGGTACAAGAGATTAGTTGACATGGCAAAGCCGAGACATGATCCTGATCATCGACACTTTTCATTCTTTGTTTATCAGCAACCATCTTTGCTGCAGGCAAATGTTTGCTTGTCTGAATTGGATTTCTTCGTCAAATGCATGCATGGTAAGGACCCTTGGAATTTTCTCTGTTCTATGCGAGAAGTATTCTTTTTACGTGGTTGTTTGCACGAAGCATGGTATTTTTCAAGATAATATAGTCCCAATTATTCTTTTCTCTTGTTCGTCTAGCAATGCCCACTACCCCTCTCACTCTCAGTGTATCGTATATAGTCTGATAGAATCCTTTTTTAGTTCACTTAAGTAGGTTTTTAATCTAAATAAATGAACCAATATTGATAGTTTCCGTATATTTTTCTGTTTTTTGTCCTTCTAAATTTTGAATGTAATCCTTGTAAGCTAAGGTATTTTTGGTCTTTTTCCATGTAAGTCAATTATTTTTTTTTCTAATCCCTTCAAAACCAGAAATCACTATTTTTAGTTTTTGACATTTACTTTAAGATAGATAAATGATATTTATCTGGGGGGTCTAGAAAGAGTTACGGAAGTGTCAATTGCTATTATGGTATCGGAAAAGACAGTAATAATAGGTATTACCCGAGATAATTATTTGATCGTTTGTTAAACATGTAAATTGTTAACATGCACTGCATGTGAATAGGGAGAAAAATAATTTCAGATTTTTGAGCGATGAAAAACATTTTTTGAGAACCAATATCAAAGCTTGTCTATTCTTAAGGAATTAAAAATATATTTAAATTTTCAAGTTTGATATAAATTATGCATTACGTAAATTTCTTTAACTATATTAATGAAACTGAATGTGTTTTCAAGCGAGCTTCATAATTTCAAAAACTGTTATCAAGTTCTATTATTTATCTTTTCAGCAAATATTTTCCATCTAATGTTTATTTTAGCTAGCTATTCTTGCAGGTGAGATGACAGAACTGTAATGACTGCAAATTATAGATTTTAACCATTTCATGGGGGTAAATGACCTTATGGCAGTGCATGTCATTTGTAACAATGTTATCTATATATAATATTCATAGAATCATAGCCTTCAAGAGGTGGCCTAGTCCTCAAGCAGCGCCGTATATCATATTATAGATCAGTGCTTTTTGCAAACTTGGTAATGCCAGAGTTTAAGGCATTCCAACTTCTAATCTTTCTAACCCATAAAATTGGCAATTATAAAGTGTGATTATATACGTCAATATTTTGTCAAGAAATTTCTTAGGATAATAAAACGCAAATAAGTCTATCTGTAGTTTGCCTAGACATTTTTTCTTTATTATTCCAAATGTGTTTGGTTTTGGGGTGATTCAGAATCTGTTCAGCTACCGAACTGAATGTCTGAGTATAAATGGGAGTGCGCAGCTTGAATTATGAGCAATTAAATCCTCTGATAACAAATGCTTTACAGAAGGCCACGTTTCTAGTCATGGGCGAAACTTGCATAGGAAAAGCAACGTTCAGATATTTGTTTGACTTTGATATTGAATTTACCATAACTTTAGTAAAACATATTATATATATGTATTCACTGAGTGACACTAAATTGGTCAGTATACTGCGACATCTGAGCGTTAAATGTCAAGTGCTCGCAAAAATAAATTCAATCAAAGTCAAAGTTAATATAAATTGAACATGGAATCTTATAGCAAAGAAGTTATAAACCGGATCCTCGACAGATAATGTCACAAATACTCGTGTGTAGAATATCCGGAACATTACGAAACAAAAGATATGAAATGGTAATTGATATTTATCTCCGCAAAATTAGATCAAGTCTCGTTGTCTTCCTATTACACTCGTTTGGAATATTTAAATGGATGGTTATGGGCATCAGAGAAGTACATATCCTATGCATTCAACCACATATCCCACATTATCCCTACTGCACAAGTTAGTCGTTATAGCATATATATATTTCAAGCAGAATTCCACACAATTAGAGGAGAAAAAAATCCAATGACGATCTTGTAGAAATGGAAATGTTGGGGTCTTGGAAGTTGAAACCAGTGGCAAGAGGAAAGATAACAGGATTTGAAGCCACATGCCTAGATTTTCAGAGTTCTGTCTCGCGAAGGTTATGCGCATCATTAGTAACAGGCTAGGGCTGTAGTGATGATGAACATAACTGAACGAAGCTATGGTTGTTGAAATCTGGTGACCTATAAAGCATAAAAACCATCCTTAGCCCACAAAAATCCATTTAAATATTTTTAATCCAAGAGGCGTCTGGCATGTGTGAAAGTACTATAATATCAAGGAACAGCAAACAAATGCAGAACACACCTCGGGTTTTACTGGTTCCAATTCTCAATGAGAGCTACTTGTTGCATAACACTGTAAAACTTATTGCAGCCTCAGTGAAACCTTATCTTTGGGAATCGCAATACTGGGGAAATTCACAATTGCACAAACCAGCTCTAACCTGGTACACACAAATAGTTGTTTTTAACATGAGAATATATAGTCAGGAAAGCTAAACCTTGGAACAAACAATTAGTTATTTATTATTACAACAGAAAAGGTTGCAGCCACAGACATTTCTTAAGATTTCTGCACTGTCAAATGTATATTAGCAAGTAAAAGCTTGGATTATTGCATCATTACACATAGTAATTAGGAAAATATATCTTCCTATTTAATTACATTTTTATGTAAGGGTGGTACAATTGCAATAGTTTTTCAGCATATGCTTCTCTTCTCTTACTCAGAGTAATACTAAAACTATAACCAAGTGGTTTAGATTTCAGTTCTTATCACCCCTATTCTTCTAACAATTTGAAATTCATTAATGATAAGCGGTTATGAATTGAGTAAGCTATAACCTTCAAGCACAAACGGAAGTAAAACATAGTGTAAGCTTTAAGAACAATTTTTTTATTTTTTATTTTTTTTACTCTAGGATAGTTAGTTCAAGACAGACTAAACTGTTGATATAGAAATAGTTCTCAAAGTGTTTTCATTTTTCAAACCTGATAATTATTGGATTAAAGGAATATTGTACAGGAAAATTATAACCAATGTCAACTGATCATATTAACTAAAACAGAAAATAACAAAATAAAAATGCTGAAATGTGCATATCAAAAGCCCAAACATCCAAAGAATTCCATGAGGCATGACAGCTGCTTAAATAATTTCATTACCGATATCTGTTTTTCTCTTGTGCTGAAGTACTAGATACTGAATCACTAATAGTAATATGATGTTTATAGGAAGACCTAAACCAAAAAGACCTTGACATCCTCTCACCTTACGAAATGTAAAAGATACCCTTCTTGAAGCCCTTCTAATGATTCTGCCATTAACTTTATCTATCTGTGGGGGGACAAAATATATTTAGTTGCAAAAATATATTAACAAGACACACCTAAATGCACTTAAAGTAAAGAACCAATCTTCAAGTTTTCTTCCAACAACAGAATATAATATACACACAAAAAATGCAACGAACTAGGACAATAAGTTGCCCTACTACGAAACACAGAGAGCTGCAAACTTATGGAACTAACAGTTTAGCAGGCATCTTAATTTGAGTAAAAGGTTATAAGTTCAACAAAATACCATGTTTTGGATTTAATATGCTCTTTATTTAAATCTAGCTACGTAGCTGAAGTGCTCAATCTGCAAAGCAGCATACGGAAATACAAATTGTCTTGTAACAAAATTAACGCATAATGAGCTTAATATCTTAAATACACATATTCTCAAACAAGGATCTTTTGGAAGATGGTATATTTTGTTTATTTTATACTGAAAACTTAAGGAAAACTTTTGGCTTGCTCATGGGCCAAAAAAAGTTGTGTTGATTTTGCACTCTCATGCCTTCTAACTAAGATATGTTTTTATGTTTTGTCTTCATTTAAATGACCAACAATAATCACTTTCAGACCATGATAACAAAAAGGATTCTGAAATGTAACAATTTCTTTCAACATGTAAAAGGAGGCAAAGCATAAATATTTCCAAAACATCACACCTTGTGGTGTGGAATGTAATGATGCCATGCATAACGTGCTTCTCCAGACAAGAGTAGCAAAGATCGAGGAGGAAGATAAATAGCTCTCCTTAAAAAATTTGATTGATCTTCTGTATTTTCTATTTTTGCAACAGCACATGAGGCAACTTTGGGAAGCCAATCACCATTTTCATATCGCCTAAACTCCATTATACAGGGCCCTGATAATGAAAGGCTGAAAATTAAATCTTCAAATGCAGAGTGAGTGTCTACATGGGGGGACAGGCCCACTCCAGGTGGGTACTCATTTACCTGTTTACACAGCAACAATTAACTTAGAACATCATAAACAATTTTTACATATAAAAGCATCGGATGGTGTTCAAGTATTAATAATATACAATTACTCATTTTCTCTCATAAATAAACTAATAATAGCAGAGCATTTTATCATTGGATTAAACAATCTTGGTGTACAATAGCAAGTCTGAATACCGTAAGTTGGTCCAGAACTATGTTTTTAACATTCTTGAAAGTTGGACATGATGAAATTCTTTCCAGTATTGGAGAAACAAATGACGGAAGTCCACCTAAGCAATGCCTTGTATTAACGTTCCTGATCTGCAAAGCCAAATAAAGTAGAAAGCAGATTCTAGATTAATCAATCCTCTCAATTCTCAGCAGCCTATTTGTTATATATAACAATAACACATTCCCAACTGGTTTGGAATAAGATCATCAATTTCATAAAGTAATTATTTATTTGGCTGGAAAAAAGGTTGGGTCCCCACTAACATACGCACAACAGAAATAAACTAACAGCTAATGAGAAAATCCAAATAATCCTTGAAACTCACGTCATAACGAAACTCATAACCATAGTGTTGAACCCTTCTTTTTGCAAGACTATTCCAAGGCCTGCAGTCAACAGCCTGAAGCAGTTCCTGAGAAGATGGAAAAGGCCAAAATTTGTATATGAAGCACCAGCATAAGTAAAAAATTATTTGAAACACAAGAATGCAAGAAAAATGCAAACATGGTAAGCTAAAAAGTTAGCATTGATACAGAAGGAAAAGATTCATAACCTCTTCTTCTTTAGCACTAATGAAGTCATGCATTAGGTAAAGGCCTGGAATGCTCACATCTGACGCTGTGATAGATACAGGAACCAAGTCACTAGCTTGATCCTGAACAGACATGTAAATTCATAAGTACTAGCATAAGGGACAATTCCACAAACCACCATTGCTTGTTAGAAATGTACACTTCCTCCTTCCTTACCTAGTTATTATTAAACAAATTTAAGACACTTATGGGTGTGATCTGTACAGAGAAGTACGGGAAGGTACTATAATCTGCTACATACTCAATTTTCAATGTATGATGATAAGAATTCAATTGGAATACACAGGGCGTGCATAGAATTTTACATTATCAACCAATCATAGATTGCAATATAACTAAAAATTAATGAATTTTGTAAATTACTTTAAAAGTCATCTCTAAGATGATTTTTTATTGATTGACCGTCCAAAAACCTTCAGTCGAACAGTTTATCAAAATTAAGTTTTAAGAATTATAAATAAAATAAGGAGTGACATGCATTGTCAACTACTAAAAATCATAATAAGTAACACATTTTAAGTAGTTATTACAACAGTATGCATAAACTAATTTATTTTAATTTATGGAAGAATCAATTTCACTTTTTTCTTATTTTTCCTCTCTCTTAGGAGTCCCTTCTTCTCCAAACATATCCTAATATAATACTCTAATCAATCAAGTAGAATGTAACTGTAATAATGCAAATAAAGCTGTAAAATTATCCAGCCCTAAATATAAACATGAACCAATTTAGTGAAATGAGTGGTGGTAGTACCTGTGTTGTTGGCTGAAGCACAGAATAACGGATATGCAAGGATCGACCTCCAAGTTCAGGACATGGGCGTCCATGTAATGCCTTTAAGGCAGCTTGCGCAGAACCCTCTTCAGCATAAGCTACTATGACACGTGTCCCACTCTCATCTGCTGCATAAACTCCCTTAAGCTCTCCAAATTTGCAGAACACAGACGCAATGTCATCATCAGAAATCCCCACTGCGGACCCACAATTGGCCACGTAAAGATTCGAACTCAATTCACCATCATTCTTAGGACGCCCAAACCTTGGCAAACCCATATCAATACCCACAACGAAGCTGCATAAATAAATGAGACAAATTTCATTAGAGTCATCGAAGGTCTTGTTTTGATTCGGCCCATTTGAGGATTAGGTGAAACTAGAATGGAATAATATGAATACGCACTTCCACTTTTGAGGGTTGGAATCAAGTTTCAATTTTACCGATCTCCAAGCGTTATTGCTGTTTGTGCTGCACCATCAAGCTCGTACAACCTAGACCAAATCAAAGGATTTGCATAATTTATTCCTTTTTAGCCTTTTTTTTTTTTCTAATTTTTGACACAAATATTTTAAGAGAAATTAACGTCGGTGATACGATTTTTTATGATTAAATTATATTTTAATTTTAAAATTTATAGTGATTTTAATTTTAATATCATAAACTAACAAAAAAATATTTTAATTTCTTAAAACTAATAATTTTAGTTCTTAAATTTTAAATTCAAATGATTAAAATGATTTTTTTAATTATAATTTCTTCAAATTTAATATGTTAGAATTAAAATTATATTTTACTAAATTTAAAGAAATAAAAATTTATTTACTCAAACTTCAAAACTACAAACATAATAATTTTTTTTATAATTCAGAAATTAATCATTGTTTGTTAAAAAATGACAATACGAAAATTAGTGGGAGTTCAAACAGCAAAAAACGGGTGTGAATAACATGAGCGTTGTTTTGGACCGAATTCAATCCGAACCCAAGTTAAAAAAAAATCACGATATTTCTCTACGAAGAAAACTTATATATATTATTGTTATTAGTGGAAAATTATAATTTAAAAAAATACTAAAATAAAACTACTAATTGAAATAAATTATAAAAATGATTATTAAAGATAAATTATAAAATAAAAATAATTAAAAATTCGAAAAACATTTATATGATAAATATTATTATACATGGATTAAATTTAGAGCTTTATTTTAATAATTTACATAATAAATAATAATTTATTAAATATGTAACATAATATTAAGATAAAACTCAAAATCTAATCGATTAGACTACAAACAATGTCTACATGCTAATTAATGTTGGTAAGTTTTGTATTTTATTTTCTCATTATCTTATATATTTTTTCCTTAAAGTTATTCTCCTTCGAAAAGATCAAATTTAAGATAAAATATATAAATTTAAACAAATATCTTAACTTTAGTCCATTTTATCATGGAAGATTAATTTTTTAGACCCAAATCTTATGAATAGTTTATCTTTGTTAAATACTAAGTAGTTAATCTCACCAACTACTTCATTATAAATTGAAACCAAAAGAGCTATTTTTATTTATTCATAAATATAAAACACCGTTGTGGTTGCCCTTTAGAAGATTAAGATTGATACACCATTTTTTTTAAAATAATCACAATAAAACTATAGCTTAAATATATTTTTTATCTTCATAAAATTTTTGACTTTTTTTTTAGTTTTCTTTTATTAATATCGTAACCACTACATATATTTTTTAGAAAAATCAATGTTTTGGCAAACCATTATAAACAAATTTGAAACTTTAAAATAAAATGGATTTTATTTTTCTAAAATAGTGAAATGTGTGTGATACACATGTGTGTCGAAAAGCCTTTATGGTTTAAATTAAATAATTCACGCCTCTTGCATATTGGCATGAAATTTCAATGGTAGACTACTTTAGTTCAATAAAATAGAACTCAATCTCTCATTAATCAACTTTTACATTTATATATTGTTGCAAAAAATTAATTATTAATTTAAGAGTAGTGATATTTTGACAACAAGAAATCATACAACCCTTCAAACAACTCACTTTTATTAATATAATAATCTATAAAATGATTGAATAAAAATAAAAATAAAAACAAAACTATTATTATAATATTAAAGAGAGTTGTTTATAGGAGTTGTATGGATTTGTGTCAAAGTATCATTTTCCTTAATTTAATTATTACAGATGGAAAATTTTAATGTGTTTTGTCTCCAACACTTAGATAAGTTGATTTGGCATGATCCAACTATTCAATGTCACTATTAATTTTGTATTACAAAAAATCATCATGCAAAGAAGTGATTATGACAATGATAATGGTGCCAATTAATTTTTGAAGTGGGAGAGTCTCCCAATTAAGTGTTAATTACCAAAGATTTATTGGGTAAGTGATCTTAACACCACAAATCATTGAATTTGTTCTTGTGTTTTCGAAACAATATAATATATTTGGTTGGTTAATTAAGAGTTATATTATTTATACAATATTACTATGTGTATTGTATAAAGTTCATGGTTTTTCATATAATTCAATTAAAATATATCAATTATATTTTGTATTGACAATAAACAACTTAAATTATGGTATAATTTTTTTGATGAATAAAAACTAGAGAAAATTATTTTCGTTTATTTGGATATGCCGAAAACACGATGAAAATAATAAATAAAATTATAAAAAAATAATTGTACACGTGTCATGCTCAGATGAGATTTTATTTTTCCACCCAACTATGGTCTCTCACTTTACATACTTATCCACTTCCACGCGAGACAGACACATACATAGTCCGTTATCAAAGAATTGTTTAATTTAGTTTTAAAAATGATTTTAAAAAACTAATTAAATATAAATAAGAAAGTTAATTATCATTTAAAGAAGAGACGTGTTTAAATTTTACGTCAAAAGTGATGTATTATTTATTTATATTATTAAATTTGATCTCATTCATGAAATGTTCAGCATGATATTTATCTGTGACGAGATATTATTTGGAGTTTTTAATTTATGTATCATAAGAAATCTTGATAAACTAAAAAAAAAAATGTTGGGTTGAGATATAAATATTTTTATAATTATTTTCTATTAAAATTGTTGAAGAAATATGAGATGAGGTTACTAATCTCGTTAGGTTGGATGTGTTATTTGAAAATGATTAGGGATTCCCTAATTGACTTTTTGTCTTGTTTTTATATTATTGGTGATTCGATGAATAAGTAGTTGTGGATAGAGTTTGGCAAATTAGATACATTGTTGTTTACCACTAGAGTAGTATGATTGTGTTTGAATTAATGGCTGATTTCTTCTATTTTCTGAAATATATATGAGTTTGTTTTGGCCTTTTGGGATTGGAATGAAGAATAATATAAAATCACGTAATTGATTTGACTAAGTGCTAAAGAATTGCGTCAGTGGAAACTTGCTTGATCGTAATTAATTTTTTATGTATGACGACAGAGAACCTCAAATGCGATTCCTTGATGGCTGCATTAGACAAAATCTGTCTGCCAAGAGAATGATAGTAACCTGGAAAATACGAGGTTGAAAATGACATGCCACGTTTGGAACATTGACATTGGAGCACACATACCCTTTATGCTGGTTAAAAGTTTTATTACAAGGTGGAGTTGGTACGATTAGAGAATATGTGACATAAAATGCTAATGTGTGAATACTTCATAATGCATACACTAAGTATTGGGTTCACTGAGCTATTTTTTAGTATTTTAGTAAAAGAGCAATGTTGTTGTTGTTGTTGTTGTTTGAGCATTTGAACGTTGTTGAATTTGAGAAATTGGATTAATTTTTTAATAATTGTATATTGATTAACTTCTTAACTAATTTAGTAACACACATGCCTGAACTCTACTATATAAGTGCTTCCTGTGTCAGAGGAAATTGGAAAACCAATATACCCTATCTATCTACACAAATAATTTCCACGATCTAACAGAACCAAATGAATACTTTTATTCTTGTGTTTCCTTCATTTTGTTCTGTAGCATGCCTTCCCATGCTTCTCCTCTTTATTATCAACTCTCTCTTGTGTCTCCCAAACACCACTGCCTCTATATTAGGAAACCAGACGGACCATTTGGTGTTGCTCAAATTTAAGGAATCAATATCAAATGACCCTTTTAAAATCACTGCCTCTTGGAATAGTTCCATCCATTTTTGCAAGTGGCCTGGAGTTACATGTAATTCCATGAACCAAAGAGTTATAGAGTTAAACCTTGAAGGAAAAAAGTTGCAAGGTTTTCTACCACCCCATATAGGCAATCTCTCTTTCCTAACCAGCCTTAACCTTGGAAACAACAGCTTCTGTGGAAAAATTCCACAAGAAATGGGTCGGTTGTTACAGTTACAAAACTTATCTCTCACCAATAACTCATTCAAAGGAGAAATACCTACAAACTTGACAAGCTGTTCAAACCTTAGAGAGTTACACTTGTTTGGTAACAATTTGATTGGAAAAATACCAATGGAAATTGGCTCCCTGCAGAAGCTTCAAGAAATGACACTGGCAGTAAACAATCTAACAGGAGCAATCCCACCTTCCATAGGGAATCTTTCATCCCTCGTTTCTCTCTCAATCGGTGTCAATCACTTGGAGGGATATATTCCACAAGAAATTTGTCACCTCAAAAACTTATCATTGATATCATTGCATGTCAACAAGCTCATAGGTACATTTCCTTCTTGTCTTTACAACATGTCGTCTCTTACCATAATCTCAGCTGCAGACAATCAATTTAATGGCTCTCTTCCACCAAACATGTTCCACACCCTCCCTAATCTCCGAGAATTCCTTGTTGGCGGGAATCATATCTCAAGTTCAATCCCAACTTCCATTACAAATGCTTCTGTCCTCCAAACACTTGATGTTGGTACAAATCATTTTGTGGGCCAAGTTCCAAGTCTAGGAAAGCTGCAATACCTTTGGTTCCTTAGTCTGTACAGCAACAACTTAGGTGACAATACGACAATGGACTTGGAGTTTTTAAAATCCTTGGCCAATTGTAGCAAGTTGGAAGTGGTTTCTATTTCCTATAATAATTTTGGAGGTAGTTTGCCAAATTTTATGGGAAATTTATCCTCCAAACTTAGTCAATTATATCTCGGGGGTAATCACATATCGGGAAAAATTCCTGCAGAATTAGGCAATCTAGTTAACTTGACTATCTTGACCATGGAAATTAACCAGTTTGAAGGGATTATTCCAGCCACTTTTGGGAAGCTCCAGAAGCTACAAAAGTTGGAGTTGAGTAGCAACAAGTTGTCAGGAGATATTCCAGATTTTGTTGGCAACCTTACTCAGTTGTATTATTTGGGGATGGCAGAAAATATGTTAGAAGGAAAAATTCCTCCGAGTATAGGAAACTGTCAAAAGTTACAATACCTTAACCTTTGGAAAAACAACCTTAGAGGAAGCATACCCTTAGAGATTTTTAGTCTTTTCTCTTTAACAAACTTGTTGGACTTGTCACAAAATTCATTGAGTGGCAGCCTTCCTGACGAAGTTGGCCGGTTAAAAAATATTGGGAAGATGAGTGTGGCTGAAAATAATTTGTCCAGTGAAATTCCTGAAACCATTGGAGACTGCATAAGCTTGGAGTACCTTTGTCTACAAGGAAATTCCTTTCACGGAATCATACCTTCCTCTTTGGCTTCACTCAAAGGTCTTCGAGTATTAGACATGTCACAAAATCTTCTGATCGGATCAATTCCGAAGGATCTACAACATATTTCTTTCTTAGAATACTTCAATGTATCTTTTAACATGTTGGAGGGTGAAGTCCCACTGGAAGGTGTCTTTCGAAATGCAAGTGAGTTAGCCGTTGTTGGGAACAATAAGCTCTGTGGGGGTGTTTCACAGTTGCATCTACCACCGTGTCCGATCAAAGGTAAGAAACCTGCAAAACACTTGAATTTTGTATGCATCGCAATGGTGATAGTTAGTGTGGTTGTTTTTCTTCTCATACTGCCATTTTTTCTATCTATCTACTTGGTGAGGAAAAGAAACCAGAGAAAACCATCATCTGATTTGCCAACAATTGACCAAGTGGATAAGGTTTCATACCAACACCTACATCATGGAACTGATGGGTTCTCAGTTAAAAACTTGATAGGATCTGGAAATTTTGGCTCCGTATACAAAGGGACTATTGAGTTAGAACGAGAGCACGTTGTTGCCATAAAGGTTCTAAACCTTCAAAAGAAGGGAGCTCAAAAGAGTTTCATTGCTGAATGTAATGCCTTAAAAGATATTAGGCATCGAAACTTGGTCAAGATATTAACATGTTGTTCCAGCATAGATCATAGAGGCCAAGAATTCAAAGCTCTTGTTTTTGAGTACATGACAAATGGAAACCTAGAAAGATGGTTGCATCCAGAAATAGAAATCGCAAATTTAAAGCAGCCTGCTAGATCATTAAGCTTTGACCAAAGACTAAATATTATCATTGATGTTGCTTCTGCTTTACACTATCTTCACTACGAATGTGGTCAAGCCATTATTCACTGTGATTTGAAGCCGAATAATGTTCTTCTCGATGATTGTTTGGTAGCTCGTGTAAGCGACTTTGGTTTAGCTAGAAGACTCAAGCCTATTGCAGTTTCTCCAAAACAAACTAGCACTATTGAAATAAAGGGGACAATTGGTTATGCTCCTCCAGGTATATTTAAGTTTTGAAATATTGAAAATTTTGTGTATTTGATTTTAATGTTTTTGATTATTCCTTTTGAACTTGGATATTACCAATATATGTGCATTATGTTTCAGAATATGGAATGGGATCTGAGGTGTCTATAGAAGGGGACGTGTACAGCTTTGGAATTCTTGTCTTGGAAATGTTAACCGGGAGAAGACCAATAGATGAAATGTTTGAAGATGGTCTTAATCTCCATAACTACGTCAAGATTTCAATTCCAAACTACCTTTCCCAGATTGTGGACCCGACTATCCTTCTTCCTAAGGGATTTAAGGAGGCTGCTAATTACCAAAACCTCCCCCCTATGCATCCTACAGTGGAGAAATGCTTACTTTCACTTCTTAGGATTGCACTTGCTTGTTCAATGGAGTCGCCAAAAGAAAGAATGAGCATGGTTGATGTCATTAGGGAGATGTATCTGATCAAAAGTTCAATTTCATCATGAAAGATGAACGAAGATTGGTTACACGTGATGGAGATATGACGATGAAAAAGGTAAGAATCTACTTGAAGGATTTGAAGGATTTATGATAAGGATTAGATGAAAGAAAAACAACAAAAGAAATTTTGTAATAAGTGTTGTCTATATTATTTGAATACAAGTCTACATTTTAAAGAAAAAATATTAAAGTTGTGAATTGTATCATGACCTAAATAGAGGATGACTAATGTGTCACTTTGTTTCAATATATAAGTTTGTTGAAATAATAACTCAATCCTTTGTAAAATTAACTAATCAAATTATGTTTTGGATTAATCAGTTAGTGAATTTTAGTTTAGTTTTGTTTCAAGTTGTAATAAGGGCCCAATTGGAAACTTAGATATTATTATTGACATTTATTTGTTTCTATTAAGTAGTATTTAATTTCTAGATTAATTGATCATTCTTAGTATTTATTTTTCTTTATTGAGTTTTTATAACTGATGACAAAACTTCTAAGTTGAATATTTTTATCATAAATAACAAGTTAAGTTTTATTGAAAAATATTAGAATTTAACTCTATTATTTTAATAAGAGTGATTTTCTTAAGTTATTAAATGATTGAAGAACTCTTGATTATATAAAAGTACTTTCACGTACTTTTCACGTACTTTCTTAGTGGTATATTTTCAGAAAAGTGATTATTCAATTTTTTCTGATTCTCAGCCTTTTACCACATTCTAATTCACTTTTAACTAATTTTCTAAATTTCCTAAAACATTCTTCTCTAAACATCTTAAGTTAGTTTTTATACAAATAAAGATTCATATCAAGTATGAAGTAAAATGTAAAGGTTTATATACACTACCATTTTATATTGTTACCAATAATCAATATGCTGAAAGGTGCTTCTTATCCTTTCCTTCTTCATCATTCATGTGCTTTGTCTCCGAGTAGAAGCCTTTTTCTGATGTGAGAGTGTGTAGTAGCCACCTTGTTTATTTTACCAATAATAATAATAATAAATGGAAAAGTTATTATGATACGATGTAAGCCATTTATTTTGAGACTCTTCGTGTCCAACCAAGTGTTCCCAGGTCTTCATCATTGTGTTGTATATACGGACTCGTTTCACGTTAATATTTTTATTCTCTCTTTCTTTGTTGTGCATGTTTACTGTTTCATTACCCTCAAATTCATATCATATATTGTATCATGTCACGAACTAGTTTCACCGTGGTGCATGGTGGTTCCAGCAGGAAAGACTCCACGAGAATTGAAGAGCCTCTCTGACATAGATGACCAAGAGGGGCTACGTTTCCAGCTTCCTGTGATCATGTTCTACAGAAAATTGTTCTGTTGTGGAAGGAAAGGCGCTGCTAGGGTTATAAGATATGGTTTAGGTGAGGCACTGGTGCACTATTACCCTCTTGCTGTTAGTCTCAGAGAAGGGCTTAACAGAAAGCTTAGGGTGGACTGCAGTGGTGAGGGGATCTTGTTGGTGGAATCTGAGGCTGATGTTTCGCTGAAGGAGTTAGGGGATAAGATTCTGCCACCATGCCCTTATATGAGGGAGTTTCTTCTTGATGCTCCTGGATCACAAGGCATTCTTGGATGCCCTCTCTTGTTGGTTCAGGTAAAGCACTTTACCATGCACTTTTGAAAAGATCCACGAGAAATTATTACACAGTGCTTAGTACTCAGTACTCATGATCCTGGTGGATTTCTAAAATTAACATTTCAACACAGAACAAATACACCATCGTTGAATTTGTTCACATTTAATGATTGTGCAGGTAACCCGTTTAAGATGTGGAGGATTTGTTTTCGCTGCACGCATGAACCACACAATCTGTGACTCACTCGGGTTGGTCCAATTTGTGAGCATGGTGGGTGAGATTGCGAGAGGAGCTTCTGTATCACAGTTCCCTGTGTGGCAAAGAGAGTTATTCAGTTCAAGGGACCCACCAAGAATCACTTGTGCACACCACGAATATGAAACCGAACATTGCCAGAGAGAGACATGAGACAACCCTTCGGAATCATCTTCTTATGCACCGAAGAAAATCTTCAACTTTTGATACACTCTGCTTGTTTGTGGAAATGTCGAAAAATAGCACTTGGGCTGGAGCCCAATGAGATTGTGGGCCTGTCACCCTTTATCACTGCTCGTGGAAAACGTGGCCTTATAAGTGCCCAATGGCGCTTTCCAGGGCTGGGCCTTTGTGCCAAAACCCATTGGGGTAGGCATTGGGCTTTGTAAAATAGGCAAAGGCCCAAATGTGTGCAGAGTATGTGAGTTCGTGGGAACTAACTACCTTATTGGGGACACTACTCATGTGGGGGTTCTATGATATAGATTTTGGGTGGGGGAGTCCTATCTAGGGAGGGCCTGCTGGGGCTATACCTTTTGTTAGCTTCTTTGGACGTTTTAGGAACAGTGAAGGAGAGGATGGAATTGTGGTGCCAATTTTGTTGCCATACCATGTCATGAGGAAGTTTCTCTCTGAGCTGGTGAATATCACAGTTTCTCATCACGATATGGCACTTAGGTACTGTTGGATCTCAATAGAAAAGAAACACATCATCAAATATGACTCTAACTTAATCTAAAACCTTAAAGATATTATTAGATTATGAGTCATGCTTTTTTTTTCCTTTTTAATCAATACGAGACTTATCTAACGATTGAATTACCTAATAACCTTGCCAATTTCATACATCCCCTCAACTCATCAGTTCCATGTTCTAACACTGCTGCCATCTGTAATTTGTCATTCATACATATAAATTTTAATGATGTTGTGGACTAAGTTGCTTCCTATCTGCATAATCTATTTTTGGCACTTCCTATTTTAGGTCCATAACTTGCAAGTCTTAGTTTGCATTTGCTGAAAAACCTAGTTGCATATAATCGTATTATTTTATTTAATTCATCATTGTGTCTTTGTGCATGTGAAGCATTTACTATTTTTCCAGAAACGTTCTTCAAAATCGACAGAACTGAGGTATAGAGGCATGTGAATTTGACTAATGGAACGAAGCTCTTGTGTATGAATTCCTCCCAGAAGAAAGTCAAAGGAAGTTGGCCGAATTATAAGGGGTGCAGAGTTTTAATTACTGGCAGGTTTGGGTCCATGTGCGCTGCACCGCGCTCAAAGCTTTTTCAATTTGTTGCAGTAAAACATGAAAATATCCTTCCACTGTCATGTTGCAAATCAGTTTCTCCCACCATATTCAATAATCTAAAATTTTGGATAACTCCTTTTTTTTAAGTTTGTATCTCAATCTCACGCATTGTATAATTAGTATTCAAGCTTTATAAAACTTTGATTAGACTTGTTATCGTGATGGCAGAAATGATGTTAATATGGATAAGCATGATGATCCCCAAGAGAAGAATAGTAGAGAGGAGAGGTAATGGAGACAAAGTATAGTGGTGGCCTGGGCCTTGTGTTGTGGGGTAGGGCATGCAACTTCTTAAGCTTTTGTTTGTTAGCAGAGGGAGTGCGTGATGATAGTTATAGGAGCCCCAAAGCCAACCTACTTTGCTACCTCTTCCAAAACCAGACAAATCAGATGCATACTAAACACTGTGACTGGTTTGATCACAATGTCAATGTGGACGAACCAAGACACACCACCCCGTTAGTACCGCCGCTTTTCCTGCCACTGAATTTGGGAATTAGGTCTAAATTTATCTCTCTCTCTCTCCTCTCCTGTTAACTTTTCCTCCTATACCATGTGTTACCTTTGAATTTCTCACCCCTTTTTAACCTTCCACACCTCATTTTTCAAATTAACAATACACCCAATTTCATAACGTCTACTTCTGTTTCTTACACGTGAATCTAACTTGTTTGTTTCATTATATTGAGTTAATTCCAAGTCACACCTTGGATCAGCCTCCTCAACGTTCTTCTTAGAACCACTAATTCTTAGTATAACGTGTTTGGGTACTCGCATTTCTTTTCTATTTTCTTTCACACTATTTCTCATTCTCTCCCCATAATTTAATGCATCAATAAATTAATCAAAGAAAACAAATTAATGTTAATTTAGGCTTGTTTTTACAAATATATAAAAAATAAAATAAAGACTTTCCAAGTTTCCAAATCAAAGTCATTCGAATTTCTATTTCACTATAGTTACAATTTACAAACACAACATGAATATAATGTTTTATATTATTATTCACTATAAATATTATTAATGTAATTTTCAGATGATCATTATAAAAATCAATACATTTATTTACTGACAATAATTTATAATTAAAGGAGAATATAACTACCTATCTCATTTCTCAGAAATTAATTACTCGTCTAATAAAAGACAAAAACAAAGAGAAAAGTTTTTATGTAGAGACATTTGTCAACATCCCAATGCATGCATAATTTTTGTAATTTAAAATTTTATATTCTTGTATCACATATCTTGATATCATAATTTTCATTTCTTGATAAAAGATCTAATCTATTTTTTTTCATTTTTTAAATGAAAACTCTAATTATTGTGTGCATATGATGAAAATGATAGATTATAATTTAACTTTCTTTGGTTTTAAAGAGAAAAAAAGGCCAATAGAAAGCGAAATAAATTTCAGTTTTTGATAGGAGACAAAAAAGAAAAGGAAAAAAAAAGTTTCTCCCTTTTGTTTGATTTTGTAAAAAATTTAAAAAATTGAAGAAGAAACATATATATAAAATAACAAAAAGTTACCATTAGAGAAAAAGAAGTGTCTAAAATAAAGAAAGTTTCATTTTTTTTCCTTCTTGTTTCACTCTAAAATGCGATGATTGATAAAACACTGGACCATATACTTTTCTATACTATATTCCCGCATGTAGTACTATCAAACGAACGAAGGGACCAAGCCATTTTCTATTTCTTTCCTATTCATCACAAACACAAGCTTAATTTCACTTTTTTTTTAAATTTACTATTTTATCCTAAATTCTCCTAAAATTCAAATTAAAGTAAAAATGTTACAAAATTCAAATTAAGGTAATTTTTAAATTAAAAACCAAATTTATAATTTATTATTCATTTTAAAAAGTATAGAAATATTTTAAAATTAGGTAAATATCATTTCTGTTTTATTTACTTTTATGACAAACATGCATTCAAAGCAAGAGGCAAACAAATTAGAAAGTATAAGATAATTCATAATAAAAGAACAAACAAACAATTAAAAAAAAAATGCAAAAATAGACTAAAGTAAGATATAATTTATCCAAATTTTTTTAGCTGTAATGCAGTGATTACTAAAGAAGTTTAATTTGAAAAGTGAAATCGAAAAGCTTCATTATGAAAGTATGATTTTCCATCTTAAGAAGAATGATATTGATAGGATGCAAAATCCTGGGCCCTCACTGCTTATATTTAATCCCTAATCTCAACCGTCCAAAGACACGCGGGACCTACTACATCAACGGCCCAAAATGGTTACAGCAGAGAACCCTCTCTTTCTCTCTCTTCTCTATTAAACACACTCTCTCTCCATTCTCTCTCCAACCTCACTCTTCTTCTCATTCTCTCACTTTCTGCAGGGTGCCATTGTTGCTCTTTGCTTGCTTATGCTCGCCATCGCCATTCTCAAACAACAATGCTATCCGAGGTATTTTAACGTTATCTTAAGTTGTCTCCATTACCGTTACAGTCACAGAACCTATTCTTCTGTTTGTGCTGTTGTCAGTTTTCATCTGAGAACTAACATTTCCATTTCCTTTTATCCCCTTATTTTAAACCCCACCTTTCTTCTTTTCAATGGATCCTCTTCAGCTCTTAAGAAAACGTTTTGAAAAACAAATCTTTATGCAAAATTTTGAATCTTTGTGACCCATGGTCTACTTTCAGAGCATCCTCTCTTGACTTTTTGACCATCACTTTGTAAAGTTGCCATAAGTAGCACCTTTTACTCCACTCCATCCCAGTTCTTTTTTATTAATCTCCCCTTTATGATTATTTAATAATTAATTCTGATTACTTAATAATTACGTAATTAAGCTCAACGGCATGATCTATTCATATCTCAGAATGTGTGATAGTCTCGTATGCCATACAGTATAAAAGACTACTTTACTTAATTCTTGGTGATCAATCAATGTTAACTGTGATTTTTGCTTTTACTAAAAGAGGTACATTATATATATGGTGATACAACAATACACTTGTTTTTAATACGTTCTCTATTTTTGATTAAAATTTATTAAATAAGTTAGGATCATTAAACAAGAAACAACATCAGTATAAATTCAATTCGTGGAATAGTATAGTTTTTTCCTTTTGAAATTTGGGGACAGGGTGGAAGTTATTTCAAGCGTGACTTGGTGGTACGGCAAATTAAATGCGTAGGAATGACAGTGGTGGGCCATGGTGTGTCCTGAGCATGCATTAATCTCTAAATTTTATCAGGTGTGGGCATAATGTAAGTGTTGAAAAATGGCTTAAAAAATAATAGTTTGGTGACATTGTTGGTGAAGGAGTATCAGAGGAAGAGTTATTGAAGCAGCAGTGAGTCAGTGACCTTTTGCTCGACCCTTTGTGGTCAAACAAACACAGATAGAGGAGAAGCAAGAAATTGAAGGGGATGTTGATGATAAGAAAAAGACTAGCATGCTGCACCAGGGAAAGGAAATTTAGCATTGATCTTGATGTGCAAGAGAGTAAGTTCATACTACCCATATCTCTGTTTATGTGCTTTTTAGACTTTTAATTGCTCAATAAGTTTTAAGATTTTTCTGATTTCAACTGTGAAAATCAACTTTAACAAGTTATCTGGGCATGTAGCATTAATTAAAGATAATGTTATTTATTTTTGCTGGTGTCTTAACAATAGTAAAGGAGGTAAATTTGAATTTGAAATCTATACCTACTTTTAGCTGATAATTATCTCAATTTCATTTTCTAATGATACTGTACTGTATTAATAGGTTGAAAAAGTCAATAATCCCTTTATTCCGGGGCACATTTATGCTTGTCCTAGACTCATAAGTCATGAATATTAAATAGCCATCTTCACAAACTTCACTAATCTTTCTGCTACAGCATTCAGGCTGCCTGAACATGGCTTTTCGAAAAACATTGCAGGCCCCATACCAAACTGGAAAAAGGATAAATACAAAATTATTTTCATATACTGTTGAGAATTCAAAATTCTTGTTTTAACAAATGAATTATGAGTTTAAAAGTTTGGGGCTTGATGAGTGGGGTCTGTAATTGATTAGTTTGTGAAAATTGTGTTAGATTGGTAACTATATTAACCAAAATAAAAAAAATAAAACCAGTTTAAGCTAAGTTGTCATTGGATCTAAGTAAATGCTTGTGTCTGTGACACAAAACTGTAATTAATTGCAGAATTGATAAATTTACATGTTGATTCGTATAAAAAATAAATAAAAATGACTAACATGTAAGGAGTTTTGTTGAAGGAAAATTCGTGTCATATTTTATCCTTGATTTCAAGCCTGTACAGAAATATCCATTTTCAGAGTAGTTGGTTTTCGTAGTCATGTTTGTGGACCAATATTTTCAAATGCTGATCAATTATTGCCACGTTATGCTTGCAAGTTCTAGAAGCTAAATGATAAACAGTGATATTCACTTAAATAATTTGAGATAAACAAGACTAACAGGTAGCATAAAATCTGACAAATCAAAAGGGGACCAACTTATATTCCTGCATTGTTAAGCTTTCCCTTTTTCTAAACAAGATGGTGGAATCCCACAATATGAACCGGTTCACCTATTCCATTATTTCAGATGTGACTTGGGTTTTGTTGTTTTGGTTTTGAGCAAGTATGACGGTGCTAGAAGAATGGTACGAATAGTGTGAAAGTTTTGGGGTTTAACAAAATCACAGAAACTGTGGTGGATACCTTTCTCAATCTCAATTCTTAAATCTTTAAAAACTGAACATCTTTGACCGATATGTTGGTCGACTCTGGGCCACCATGAGTGTTGGTTGTTATTAGTCGTAACTACTCGTTGTGCCATTCACTGATAGGTGCTGACAAATTGAAGTAATGGTTGCAGAGTGGGGATGCACCATTCATTGCCATACTTTGATCCTTAAAATTTTAAGCACTTTTTTTTTTCTTTTCATATTGGAATCTTTTGTGGGGATTCTCTTATGCCTTTCTTAAGGCATTTTTGTCCTTAGTTTTTCATTGGATTGAATTCGATGTCGCTGATGTTGTATTCTGTCATAGCCAAAGGCCTAGGAAGCTTTTTTCTGTTGTGTTCGAATCTTTCTCTGCAAACCCTGTGAACACTCTTTTCACCCTTGTTTGCCCTCAATGTTTTTGGTCAGTTGTAAGATAGTAAGTTTTACAAATTACAGGACCCGACTATAATATTGTTTTAAAGGTAACATGCTTTATAACTGTATAACGTATAAATTTATCTAACTATTAATATGAAAAATATAATTTTTTTTTTCAAACATCTGAGAAATATTTAACCATGGTTTTGAATCAATTTACATGAGGTTCTTTTAGTTTAATCAATTTATTATCTATTGAAGGGTTAATCCGTTATTCTTGCACAGGACGCAAGGTGGAACCTTTTTACCCGCAGCTCTTGAATGGCCAAACGCCAAAATGAAAAAAAAGAGAAAAATAAAATAAAATTTCGTTGATGGAACTTGAATTGAAAAAACCAGTTAATTTAAACTGTTATGGTAATATGACACACTTACCACAATGTTATGGTAACAAGACATTCTTAACATAAATACACGTAAAAATGAAATTTATTTAGGTAATTTTATTTTAAAAGTATTATCAATATACCCATATAATGTTTATGTTTTAAAATTCTCTTTTCATTATTTAGTAATACAAATCTAAATATACATTATAAAATATTTTATAAAAAAGATTAATAATTCATTATAAAACGTTTCTTATAACAACAATATTATTAACACCGATGAATATGCCTAGTTGACGCGAGATCTACCATACATTTTTTATGACTCTAAAAGCATAACAATATATTGGTTAATTCTAAAAATATCAAAAGTTTATTAGCACTTAACTTCTCATTTAAGAAAAAGGAAGAAGATATAAAATAAATAATTTATTAAATGACGACAATAAAAAAAAGAAAAAAAAAATGGAATCTTGCAATAGGTCACATTAATTTGCTATTATGATGTGCAGTTGCAGAGATACTTAACCTTGTAAGTAAGGTCTTGAAATTATATAAACTAGGAAGTTAACGTTATATGTGACACTGATGCAATGGAATATTTCTTACCCATTCTCCGTGATTTTAGATATATCGAGTGGAGGCAACTTGAGCATAAGAAAGCATATAATTTAGATTTTTGTTTCCGATTTAGCTTGTATGTGTGTAGATAAGGAAGAATTTAGAAAATTTGAATGGTTTTAATTAAATATTACCACCTAATAGAAGTCATGAATGAATGTAAGAAATTATATGTGGGTTTTAATTGTAAACATGCTATTTATTCATATGCTACTTTTGGATGTATGCCTGCACCGATGATGTGTAGAACAGCAGAGAGAATATGTTCTTGCGTTATTTTGATAATGACAACCAGGTTTTATTTTTCCTCATGATTATTTGGTAAGATGAAAATTGTAATATTGTTTAAATTTATGTATGACAGACACCTTTTGAAATCGTATTTTTGTGAGTGTATAATAATAGAATGTTTCAGGGATTATGACATATAATGGCCTTGAGAGTTGCATGCTAAACAATCAGTCTTATGAAGATGAGAGCAGAACAAGTAGAGGAGATGAATGCATAACTGATTCATTTGATGACGATGACTCCAGTTGTTCTTCAAGCAAGGATGCTTTTGGATCATTCTCTTCAAAATGTTTGACAATGAAAAGGGATGATGATAAAGGTCTGGAAGAATGGGAACTCTCAGAAAGTCCTCAACATTTATGTGTCAAAGAGAAGCCTTACGATATCAAACTGTCAGATATTGAAGCCATGAAGGAAAAATTCTCAAAGCTTTTGCTAGGTGAAGATGTTACAGGAGGATCTAAGGGCCTCAGTACAGCTTTGGCGCTGTCTAATGCCATCACAAACCTAGCAGGTCTGCTCTGACACCATTTTACAACTATCTGGTTTTGGTTTGTTTAAAAAAATTACATGAAACTGATCAAGTTTCTCACCAATGGAAAGACTTGTAATACATTTATGTTACACTTTGAAACCTTGTATACAACGATAATTTCCACCTGCAAGAGTAAATGGGCCGTTTCTTGTTCTTCTTTTTTCTTCTGCTTTTGTTTTAAAGAACCTAAGTCCTTAATGATCATATGCAGTGACGGTTTTTGGTGAGCTGTGGAAATTGGAACCACTATCTGAAGAAAGCAAGAGAAAATGGCAAAGAGAAATGGACTGGTTATTGTCTCCTACCAACTTCATGGTTGAGCTAGTTCCCGCTAAGCAAAGCAGTTCCAATGGTGGGATTTTTGAGGTATCTATCATTTCAGCTAAGATAGTAAAGATTTGATTATTTTGCGAATCATGTTGCAATGAAATAAAAGTCATCTTCTTCAAACAGATAATGACCTCAAAAGCTCGTGCAGACATCCACATGAATCTTCCAGCACTTCAGAAGTTGGATTCAATGCTTATTGTATGTCACAGTGTGATCTCGTTTATTCATCAAAATTTGGAACTTTATTTCAACTGACTTACTATGCTAGTATATTATTTTTGGTTGATAGGAGGCACTAGATTCTATGATGAATACCGAGTTTTGGTATGCAGAGGGAGGAAGCCAAGCAGAAGGGACGGACATAAATGCACAGCACAGCCAAAAATGGTGGCTTCCATCACCCCAAGTACCAAAAAGTGGCCTTTCTGATACTGAAAGAAAGAAGCTGATTGATCAGGGAAGGGTGGTATGCCAAGTATTCAAGGCTGCGAAATCCATCAATGAAAGTGTTTTGCATGAAATGCCTGTGCCTGAGGTTATTAAAGATGCACTTGCAAAGGTGATGATCTTGTAATTTTGAATGACTTCAATCTGAATTGAATTGCAACTGTTTACATTTTACCTTGAGCTTTTTAAGAATCTTTTGATAGCTTGACCTTGAGAAACTTTTCATACTCAGCTTAAGAACATCACAGAAATGATAATCAAAGAGTACACTTTGATAAATTCAATTGTTATCTTCATTACATCTTCATTAAATCTGTTTCTATGTTGTAGTCTGGAAAGGCAAACCTTGGACATGAATTGCACAAGGTTTTGACGTCTCAATCAAGCTCTGGAGAAGACATGCTTAAATCTCTCAACTTGACATCTGAACATGTTGTCCTTGAGACTGTTAATAGACTGGAAGCTGCTATACTCTCGTGGAAAGAGAGAATTGCAGAACAAATTAGTGGCAAACACCCAGCTCGATCCACTTGGTCACCTTTTGTGAAGGATCCTATGTCAGAGGTTGATAAACTGGAGTTATTATTGGACCATGCTGAAACACTACTCCAGCTGATTAAAATCAGATACCCAAACCTTCCTAAAACGTTTCTGGATGCTACCAAAGTTCAATATGGCAAGGTGAGTTTTATTGGAATGCATTTCACTAATAATTCTGATTGGAGAAGTGAGTTTGATTCCATTTTCAGTTTTGGTTTTAAAAACTGTTAGAATTCAAGTGAGTCTCGAAGTTCAACATTGTGTAGATATAAACAAGTTGAACAATATATAAATGAGAAAGATTTACATGCTAATTGTTCTATACTTTTGGTTTGAGTGCAATGTTAAGCCATATGTGGTTAACTCATGACTAATTGGTAAAAGATCTCCTCGGTGTTTTCTCTTGGAGAACCTCAAAAAAAGCTTTTTTCTCATTTATTTCCACCCTGTTCAACCTGTCCCTCAATTTCTCACTCTTTTCTGGGCCTTGTACCAACCTCAACCAATTATTTGAGCAACCTTATTTATTTTTATTTTGAAAATCAGAAACAGTTTTTGAAAATAGATATCAAGTGTCAAACAGAGCCTAAATCTTAGTTTTCAGTTTTATCTTTCATTGACATTAATCCATGTAATATTCAGTTTTAAATCTAAAGGAAAAAGTAAAAATGCAAACAGAATAGCAAAGTAAAGTATCAATATCGTCCAGAGCCAAAAGTTTGTCATTAAGGTTGTTTCTGGTATACATTCAGTGGTAATGTGGTTTCTTTCTGTTTCTGTAGGATATTGGATATTCCATTTTGGAAGCTTATTCCAGAGTTCTAGCAAATTTAGCCTTCAGCATCCTGTCTAGAATAGGAGATATATTGCAGGAGGATTCTTCAAGCAATCCTTCACCTTTGGCGATAGATTGCTCTCGTGGGATAAATCTCTCTCACACTTGGGTGGTTGGTTCACATTTGAGGCAGTCCTTAGTTGACAAGATGAACAAGGATGATGATGAACAACATTGTGATTCTAGCTGTTACAGTACTTCTGATTTAGAACATTCGCCTAACGATACCAAATCCGAATCTGTAATAGCCACGCCAAACCAGAGTGGTGGCTGGTGCAATAGTAGAGAAGCTTGTACAAGTCTGTCTCCTAGACATTCTCCATAGTGGCTTTTGTTTAGACCTTTCTGTAAATGTTATTGTTATTACTACAAGGCATGCTCAGTAAGAATAGAGAAGCAAACTGATAGGTTTGCCTGCCCTCAATTTTTGGTTGGCTTTATAATACACAATCCTTAGTCATAAATTATAATGGAGAGGCTTGGTACAAAAGGGTTACAAATTAAGAAGAGTGTGTTTAGTTTGATGTTACCACACATTTTAAGCTTATATTGTGAAGCTTAAATAAAAAGATGTATGCTGAAGGGTAAGTGTAAATGTGAAGTCTCACATTTATGTAAAGTTAAGCGAGTTGAGTAATATAGAAATGACAAACCTATAATCTGAATGTCCACTGACTTTGTATGAAAGGAGTTAAATATATAATTTTTTAAATTCTACATGTATGTATATTGTTAATGCTTTGATCAATGTAAGTACATGCCTTGGAGGAACATTTTCCTGTCAGTTGATTGATAGATAATTTCAGCAATCGCATATTCCTAAATGAGATTTGTTTACGAAACTTGGTCAATATGATCATGAAAAGTAAAATTTAGAGACCACAACAACTAGGTGAGTTTTCATGGAATTTGCTTAGACAATTAAAAAGTTACAAAATGATTTATGTAACCTTAATTTGGAGAGATAGTGAAGGGTGTTCAGTGGAAGAAGTGGAACATAATCATGGAAATTGGAAATCTTTAGTTAATCATAACACCGTATTTTAGTGTAAATGGTGATGATATAGTGACATACATGGACCAATATATTATCATCATATACACTAAAATTATTTTTAGAGTAATTTCTGTTTTGTGGTTTTGACTCTTTTCTTTTGAGTTTATAAGGAGTGGGAGGTAAGTAATTTCTTGTCATGCTACGTGAATCATTGAAGCAGTTAGTTGCTGAATCGATCCTGATCATCTCAGAGTGTATCCTCTGCTTTGGTTGGATGACAGGGTTTTTTATTACACAAATGTTTCAAGTACAACAAAGTGAAGTAAATACATTTTGAGGTGTATATATTTGTATAATAAATTAAACAAAAACTAAGATCAAAGATAGGGATGGGAAAAATTCATAATATTCAAATCCACCTATTTTAATGGAATCATCTTAAATCTACATACATATTTAGAGATTTTAAATCAAATCTAATTAGTAGGGTTTGGATTGAATATGAATTGAATTATTTTTTTGAAATTTAATATATCCAAAATAAAGTTAGGTTGGGTAAATTTGGTTAGGAAGAATTGGATATGTCCGAGTCGAACAAAATTAGATTGAGTAAAGTCGAATCCGATTAAGCTAAATCATATTGAGTCGAGCTAGATCCAATCATAGTAAGTAAGTCCGGTAGGGATATATTATGTCAAACCAGACTGATTCAAATCCGATCGGATATGATTGAGCCAAGACAGGACTTATTAGGTCAAGTCAGGCTTGTGGAGCTTAGCTGACATGATTGTGTATGATATAATGTTGTTGTGACAATTGTTTCCTGTAATGAACCTGTTCTACTATTCTCGTTGTCCATAACAAGTGACATAAGAGAAGAGGGATCATTGAGTTATTATT